TGTTTCCATTTCATGAAAATGTCCTGGATAGCTTCATTTGATATGGCCTTTAAAGTTTGTACTTTAATGTCATCAATAGTCTGAAAACGGCATCCTTTCAGCACTGGTTTTAATTTCGGAAATAAGAAAAAATTGCAAGGAGCCACGTCTGGCGAGTAAGGAGGGTCAAGGAGGACAGTCATCTAATTTTTGAAACAAAATTGACGAATTGACAAAGCTGAGCGGGCACATTGTCATGGTGCAAGAACCATGAGTTATCTCGCCACAACTCTCTTCTCCTTTTGCTGATTTTTTCACGTAACCTTTGTAAAACGCCTTGATAAAACAAGTGTTCACTGTTTCACCCTGAGGCTAGAATTCAAAATGCACAATTTCGTTAAAGTGGAAACGAACAGTGAGCATCACTTTGACATTGAATAGAGACTGACGTTCTTTCAATCCATTGAACTTTTGTCTCAATATCTAGCAGTAAACACAGACTTCGTCTCCAGTTGTGATCTTTGTTGTTGAAAAACGTCCGCACGAGGAACAAATGCTGCAACTCGATGCATGTGCAATTTCTCAGTAAAAATTTCATGGCATGACCCTGTTAAAACGCTAACCTTTTCTGTAAGTTCTCTGACAATCAATCAGATTTTTGACTTTCTGAATGTGAGGGTCATCAGTTCAAGTCGAAGGCCTTGCTGGTCAAGGATGATCTTCAATTGACTGACGACCACTTTTAAATCATGAAAACCATTCGTAACATTGCATACAACCCAGAGCATCATCTCCGTAAGCTTTTTCAAAAGCTGAAATGTTTCCATGAAAGTTTTCTCAAGTTTAACGCAAAATTTTACGTTGCATCGTTGTTACAGAAAATCGTACGTTGCAAAAATCGTCGCTAACACATAAACGCGTTGTTCTCAAATGAAATATCAAATATCATTAAATATCCCCATTAGCGCGCAATTCAAAAAGTTCGGTTATTTTTTGAACATACCTCGTACAGGAAGTTTGTCGATTTGTTTTTAGCCAATCTCTGTCTATAAGTAAAATTTATTCTATTTTACAGCACCTAATGGCGTACAACAATACCAAAGTTAATAGACTTTATGATACAATTCCGTAAAAAAGTCGTAGTTATTTCACTAGTTTTATCTTTTAGTAACTAGTTATATTCAAGTAAGTACTAGTTAAATGCAATATTATGTTAATAGTTCTATAATTACTACGTAATAAAAGTTGAATAACTGTACAGTTATATGTATGTCGAGTGAAATATATTGCCATTAAATAACTTTGGAATGGTTCCACAAAGAAGTTTTAATTTTGGCACCGATCTTTATTTAGATAAAAGCGAAACCTACCAGGTTGGTCTGGGACATTTCAGAGACAGTTCAACTTATATTTTCGCGTTGAATAACAAACAATTTACGCCTTGTACAAACTTTGAAGTCACCACGGGTGTTATAGGATACCGAAGCTCTCGGTCGATGTACACTATCGACCTCGGCGCATTATTATCCATATAACACCCTATAGACCGATCAAAATAACTCATTTAGAGGGAAAAAAAAAGAAAATTGTTACCTGGACTTTCATAAGTGGAAATGGTAAAGGGGCTTATAATAAACGAAAAAATAAATAAATGTGTGAGCAGGGGCGGCGGAGGGTTGATTTGGGGGGGTTGAAAAGTTATGAAAAAATTGTATCATTGGGATTTCTGGCGAAAGTTGACGTCAAACAAAATAGCAATAATTGTATCTAATACAAAAGTTTTAGATCATGCTAAAATCTACAACTTTTGTAGAAGTCATTTTTAACATAACCTGAAAATTTTCGAGAAAAATGCAAAAAACAGGTTATTTCTGAGTTTTCGTTTTTTATTTCTCATTTCCATGAAAACAATTTAATTTTGACGAAACTTGGTGAAAGTATACCTTTCTTCTGTCTTAAATAACCTCAATTTTTTTTAGATAAAAAAATCAAGAAGTTTCTGAGATATTCATGTTTTTCGGCCTGATACACTTTTTTTCAAAGAAAAATTCTACTTAAAAAAATCTTCGTACAGAGTTCTGCCGGTAATAATTTTTTTCGTTTTGGCATATAGATACTTTTTGGTGAAATAAAAAAATTTGTAATCACAGTTCAAAAACATGTTCAAAAATGCAAAAAAGTAAAAAATGACTTGCAGCAATGAATTTTTCAGTAATTGTTGATAATTTGTTTAAATTAAAAAAAAATCAAAAACTGATTACACCGTTCAATTGTACCGAAAAAGTACAAAAAAACTGTCTCATTGTTTGACCCAAAACTTTATTTTTGAACAGTATTGCTATAAACATAAGTCCAATAGTGAATAATTAAATAAATAATATTTTTTTTCCGTAGGATCGATTAGTGTACTTATTTTTTTTTAATTTTGATGAATTCATAGATATACAGTGTGTCCAAGATAAGGATGTGATAGCATTAGGATCTAGGAAACGGTAAGAGATACGTGGTGGCTCAGATTAGATAAAAGTTGTGTTTTTTTATACCCAACAATATGCTGTTTAGAAAGTTTTAAAATTCCGGGTAGTTCCGGGGATATCCGGAAAAAACCGAAATTTTGCAAAATTGTTTAATTTTTTCTGTCTATTTGAAAACGAATTTTAAAATAAATTACATATTTACAATGCCACTTTTTTCGCTCTGTGCAATGGCGTCAACATTTTTGAAATCCGACGTTTCGTCTTCGAGGGGCCATCATCGGGTAAATTTTTTTAAATACTTCGCTGTTATTTTTATGATAAAATCTAGTCATACTTAATTCTGAATTGGAGGATATTACTATTGTAATCGCTTAAATAGTTTTTAGCTTGTTTTAGCTATAATTCAAATTTTTTCCTGAGTACGGCTCTGAACACTTTTAAAATATCTATTGGATGAAGTCATAACAGTATAAAAGGCAATACCGCACAAAATATCCAACAATTTTATATTAGCAATATTAATTAGAAATAATAAAATATTTCATAAATTCGTATTATTTTTTTATTAAGTACAACTTTTTAAATTATGGATTAAAAAATTGTTGGACATTTTGTGCTGTATTGACTTTTATTCCCTCCTCTCTCTCTCTCCTCCAATAGATACAGGTATTTTGAAAGCGTTCAGAGCTGTACTCAGGAAAAATTTTTAATGATAGCTAAAAACCTTTTTACAATAGTAATATCATCTAATACACAATTAAAAATGACTAGATTTTGTCATAAAAATAGCAGCGATATATTTAAATAAATTAATCTGATGATGGCCCCCCGAAGACAAAACGTCGGATTGCAAAAATGTTGACGTCATTGGATAGAGCGAAAAAAGTGGCAATGTAAATATGCAATTTATTTTAAATTCGTTTTGAAATAAAGCCAGAAAAAAAATAAAACGATTTTGCAAAATTTCGGGTTTTCGGATTTCGCGTCAACAGCAGATTTTGCAGTTAATACTTTGTATTGCTGAAATCTCAAATCATCCAGAGATAATTTATTATTTGTGCATTTGTAATTCGACTTAGATGTTTATAGCAATACTGTACAAATATAAAGTTTTGGGTCAAACAATGAGACACAATTTTTTTTATTTTTTTCCGTAGAATTGAATGGTGTAATCAGTTTTTGAATGTTTTTTAATTTAAACAAATTATCAACAATAACTGAAAAATTCATTGTTGCGTAATTTTTTATTTTTTTTTGCATTTTTGAGCACGTTTTTGAACCGTTATTACAGATTTTTTATTTCTCGAAAAAGTATATGTCAAAACGAAAAAAATTATTACCGGCAGAACTATGTGCGATGATATTTTTAAGTAGAATTTTTCTTTGAAAAAAAGTGTTTCAGGCCGAAAAAAGTGAATATCTCAGAAACTTCTTGATTTTTTATCTAAAAAAATTTGAGGTTATTTAAGACAGAGAAAGGTATATTTTCACCAAGTTTCGTCAAAATTAAATTATTTTTTCTACAAACGTCAAAAAATGACAAGGTTTGCGCATTGACAAAAATATGGGAAGTGGCACTTTTTTTTCGGATTCTTACGTTACCATGACACCGTACGCGAAATACTTCGCGCACTAGGGTGCGAAGTATTTCGCACACTGCATGTAAATTAATAAGAGTTTTGTATTTCAATCTTTGAAAAAATGAAGCAAAACTCCAAATTATTATTTATTTTTAAATGAATAACAATTAAATACTTTTAAAATAATGATAGNACAGTGAAAATTTGATTAGGAAAGACATTTTAAGCCAGCTCAACACTATTTTCTATAATAAATTAGGCATTTTACTTATTTATAATATTTTTAAGAGATAGATTTTGACGTTTGTAGAAAAAATATTGTTTGCATCTCGTGCGCGAACTACTTTGGTGGTCTCGAATAATTTTTTAACTCGGCTTCGCCTCGTTAAAAAATTCAATTCTCGATCACCAAAGTAGCATTTCGCGCACTAGATACAAAAATAACTATTTGCGGAAATGAGAAATAAAAAACGAAAAATCAGAAAAAACCCTGTTTTTCGCATTTTTCTCGGAAATTTTGAGGTTATGTTAAAAAGTGACTTCTATAAAAGTTGCATGATCTACAATTTTTGTATTAGATACTTTTTTGTTTGACGTCAACTTTCGCCAGAAATCCCAATGATACAATTTTTCATAACTTTTCAACCCCTCAAACCAACCCTCCGCCGCCCCTGCTCACAAGCCCTTTTACTTATAAAAGTCCAGGTAACAATTTTTTTTTCTCTAAGTGTAATTTGGTTAGACTACTATAAATACCTTATAATACTATTATATTTTTTTGTTTACATATATACAGATGGCGCAATTTTGACATTCGTTTTGACAGTAAACAAACGTCAATTTCACTTGCACTGACACAATCGCTAACGATAAGTGATTTAAGTTTAAAATATATAGTATAAATAAAAAAAGATCTATGTATACCTTTTTCCACTATTTTATTTAAAACTAAATTTTTGTTAAGGACTTGATACGATATGGCGACCAGGTTTCGGAAATTGGCGGTTGGTGGACTTGCTGGGACTGTAGGAGCCGGTTTAGCGTGTTACTTTCTTCTTAAAGAAAATGGAAACGGAGTAAGTACATATTTATAATTGAACATAATTATAATTTTAAACGATACATATGGTATTTCACTGAAATGATTTGATGTGAGTACAAGTCATTAAATAATAACATTGATGCAAAGGTGCTATAAACATTGTTTCCTCTAGTATTTTTCCACATTTCCTTCTTCATAACACACTTGATATATTTGGGTATATTTGTCTATAAGCTTGTAGATACCATTTATAAAGTTTTTGAAGCTATTAACCAACTTTGTATCGATTCCATTGCCCCATTATCATCTGTAACACTCCGACTCTGCGAATGTTCCTTGAAAGATGCTAAAAAGTGAGAATCTGATAAAACCAATTTCGGATGGTACCATAGTGCATAGTCGGTTAAAACTGATGTCGAAAAGTGTATCTGTAAAGGACATTAGCAAGTTTGTGGACAGGTTTGTTACAAAGCGAAGGGGTTTGTCGATACAAAGAATAAACAGAACCCAAATATTACAGTGTTTTCGTATATGTCCACATTTTATTCAATATAATTAAATTAGACACTGCTGCATGCTTTGGTTGTAAGTCAAGATTCCTTATTCTTGAGGGACAATTGAACTAAAATTTTCATGTCACATAGTTCTTTTTGAACAAGGTATTCTGTTTCTTTAGAACGATCTCAAAATAATACAGCAAATGAATATTAAATTTTCACATTTTGGATTGCAGTTTGTTTATATGACATGGAAAATGAAAACTAAATTAAATATATGCTTTTCTGGATCCACTAAATATTTGTTTAATTATATTTTATCCGACACACATGCTAAATTATAACGTTTTGCATTATACTTAATTTGTATGTTAATTTATGGTATTAGTGCCTGATATATGTAACAATTTAATCGTCATTAGGTCATATCCCATTGTTTCTAAACTGGTATAATTATTCTTAATTATGTCTGTCTTTAATATAATTCGAACTTGCTGAAACGAAGTTTGTCAAAAACCTAAAAATTGCAGGAGGATCCGTAAACAGCTATTTAAAAATAGGATGGAAATTTATGTTTATAGAAACAACTGCATTGCATTTATTTTTAACAAAAACTGCTACAACAGATAAACTCCTAAGAATGTATTAAATAAAAATCCTAAAATTACATAAATTTTTACTTTTTGACTGAATTAATTATTTACAATTAATTTTACTAAAAATTATTTATGTGGTAATTGATTTTCAATACCCTGTTATTTTGGCATGTTTCGACCGGTAGACGTCAATGTCGGAAGAATTTTTGTCGGACAAATTTAAATCGGCATTTGCAACAAAATTTCCAGTTGCTTAAGCTAAAAATAAAAGATGTGGTCTTGACTTTTCAAGACCCGATTGGAAAAGCGGAGGAATCAAGAAAAGTCGCAGAGGAAAAATGTGGTAGACTCGTCAAAACTAAACTCCTCAGGGGAAGTATGTGGTAATCAACTTTCCAGAGGGGGCCTGTACAGTGGACTATTCCGATATGTCAGAAAAAACTGCCGTTCTTTAATTTCTTTTGGTCGCAAATATACAGGGTGAGTCAGTTTTTTGTAGACAAACTTTAACAGGAGATAGAACACATGTTTTTAAAAAGAAAAGTTCCTATAAACATATGTCGTAGAAGGCTTCGTTTCTGAGATACAGGGTGTTGAATATATTTTTTTTTCTCGAATTTTCATTATAATTTATAAACGAATGCTTAGATTTTTTTCATGTTTGGGAGATAATGTCTATTAATTAAGTGGCATAAAACAAGCGATAAGAATGTTCAAAAACTTGCACAGTGGCGGAGTGGAGGGGGTGCTCAATCTCTTTCTTAGACAGAACTTCTACGCCAATGACTATTTTAAAAAAAACTGTTATTTTCATTATCTACATACAGTTTAACAAAAATAATGTCCCTTCTTCCGTTTCGAAATTCCTGTGCGTTTAAGAGTTATTTTGATTTTTAGAGTTTGATGTGGTACTAAATTAAATAATTTATTTATTATCAATTATCTGTTAAATATTTAATTCTATTAACGAAACCTACCTAAATATGGTTTGTTAAGGATTCTAAAAGCCGAAATCTCATATTCTTTATCTCTTTCCAATGTAGTCAAAGTAAATATTTGTTATATCAAGCTATACTCAAATACAAGATTTTTATAAGTTGAAATCTGTTACATTACATACATACAATACATTATTGTGCAGTTGTCAAAAAGTTTTAAGAAGTTGTTACTTAAATATTGTTCTAAATTCAAAAAATTTCTACATAAACATTAACGTCAATGTTTTTTTTTTGTAATTTAGTTGCAGTACATTAGTACGCAGCAGTCGCAGCACATAATAAATAAGGATTGTTAAAATTAGTGTACCTACTAAACAGATTTCAATTTATAAAAGTCTTGTACTTGAGTATGGCTTGATATAACAAATATTTATTTTGACTACATTGGAAAGAGATAAAGAATATGAAATTTCGGCTTTTTAGAATCCTTAATAAACCATTTTAGGTAGGTTTCGTTAATAGAATTAAATATTTAGCCGATAATTGATAATAAATAAATTAATTTAGTACCACATCAAACACTAAAAATCAAAATAACTCGGAAACGCACAGGAATTTCGAAACAGAAGAAGGGACATTATTTTTGTTAAACTGTATGTAGATAATGAAAATAACAGTTTTTTAAAAAAATATTCATTGGCGTAGATGTTCTGTTTAAGAAAGAGGTTGAGCACCCCCTCCATTCCGCCACTGTGCAAGTTTTTGAACATTCTTACCGTTTGTTTTATGCCCCTTAATTAATAGGCATTATCCCTCAAACATGAAAAAAATATAAGAATTCATTTATAAGTTATAATGAAAATTCGAGAAAAAAAAATTATATTCAACACCCTGTATCTCGGAAATGAAGCCTTCTACGACATATGTTTATAGGAACTTTTCTTTTTAAAAACATGTGTTCTATCTCCTGTTAAAGTTTGTCTACAAAAAACTGACTCACCCTGTATATACTGTCGATATAATCGGAGAGCGTGCATTTCATTTTCTTCCACAATAGTAAAGGATATTGGTACTCCAGTTTTTGTATCGTTAATGAATATTTGCTTTGGAAGGCCTAGATATAGATAATATCTGCACATTTTATATCTTAGAAATTTGGATGTACAGTCAGTTTTCAGTAGTGTTCAGACTGTTTTTCTATAATACATATTTATTTGTTCGTTGGAAAGTTAATGACGTGATGGTAACAACTTTTTACTTAAATAAAAAAGTACTGTTTATACTTATTAATTTTTGATAAAAATATACTATCGTTTATAAAAATACTCGTATTAGATGTTCAAAAAATATGTACAAAGCTTTCATAAAGGTTACAAACCATGTGACCGCCGAGGTTAGGCAACCAATATTTCACGGCTGGTACTATCAACTAAAATGTAATCTTGATCTTATTGTTTTAATTTTACCGAAATTTAATTACCATCGTGAAGGAAATAAAATTACTTAAGTTATTAAAGCTTAGTAAACAAAATAAATAAGGAAGAATAAGGATGAATAAGGAAATCCATCTTGAAGCTCTCACTAGATATTCAATTAACGATAGTTTAAAATATTGAAATCTCACCTACTCATTATATTTATGTAGTAATTGTTAGATTACTTTTGATAAAAGTATGTGGAAATTTTTCAGTGGCTTACAGTAAAAGCCGAACAAAAGAGTTCCAAGCTGAAGAGGGCCCTACCTTCAAGAAGTGACCAAATCAAATGCCTCCAAGCGGAACAATATGACATTCTGATTATTGGTGGAGGCGCCACAGGTTCAGGTTGCGCCCTCGATGCAGTGACAAGAGGTTGGTATATCATTTATTTATAAAACTTATATACAGGGTGTCCCAGAATAACATGAACAACGGAAGACCACAGATTCGTCGAGTCAAAATAGGCAAATTTAGACTAGATGGGCTCAAAGTTTGTGAAAATTTTTTGAATTTTGTAAATAACTCGATTATGTATTATTCTATTTTGATTATTTTTGGGGTGTGAACTTTTGCTTTCAATCTACAAATTTTGATGTTATACAGTGTTTTTTAAAACTCACAATCCTACAAAATTGCTGTATGGTGATAATATCCGTTTTTAACTTGTCATCTTTCAGGTAATAATGACAACTATTTTTTATTTGATAGATGACACCATTTGGAAGTTTTTTGACCGTTTATAGAATTTTGATTAAATGAGCGGTTTGGGTACAAAAAATATTTTTTAAAAGTCTATATTATCTTGCCACCCATATTACAATCCTTAACAAAGTGCTAGTAGTCACTGTTTTTGAAGGTTTACTGTAATTTCAGTTTGCTCTTGTTTTGGGATAGCATTATTATTGGTTCTATTATTTATCCAATGAATGGGGAATTTATTCTTTATTAACAAAATTATGATGTATACTTGAACTGTGCAAATTTTGTGATAATATTCGCTATCTGTTAGATATAATAGTCGGAATTGTATTGACCTAAGTAATTAACGCTCTCTTATTAATCTGATAAATTTACCTAATAATGAAAACTGTAGGTAAGCCGGAAATCTTGTTATAATTTACGGATCAAATCAGCTTAGATTGCGATATATTGTGTATATATTTTGAAACATTAGGTGTAGGTATACAGGGTGTCCCAAAAGTATGGAAACAGCACAATAACTTTCGAAAAATGCATTTTGAGGAAAAACGATTCAGACAAAAGATTTAGGATTTTTCCCTGGCTATTAAATGGTGCCCCTAGATTTGACCTTGACCTTCAAGGTTATTTCAAGGTCAAGTTAATTTTTTCAAGTGGGATGCCCTACTTTTGACCCCGGAAATGAAAAGAGCGGGAAATTTTACGTTCAGATATGTCCTTAACCATTTTCCGAATTTGACCTCTGATGGTCATTAAAGGTCAAATGAAGGTCACGCATGGTTTGGCACGCTGTCTTGAAAACAACGGGTTGCAAAAAAATGACCATAACTAACGTTGTAGGATTTTTTCCTGGCTATCTGACGGTGACCCTTGATTTGACCGTGAACTTCACCTTCAAAAACCGCACTATATCAATTTTGCCAAAAAGCGGTTGATTTTTGAAATCGTGTCCGCTATCTTGGATCCGCCATCTTGGACTAAAATTCCTCAAAAACAGATTTCAGATTCGTAGTCAGCGACCCCAAAAACCCCCCTATACCAAATTTGGCGTAAATCAGGTAATTTTTTGGAATCGCGTCCGCCATCTTGGAAAATGGTCAAGGACATATTATCTGAACGTAAAATTGTCCGCATTTCCGGGGTCAAAAGAAGGGCATCCCATTTGAAAAAATTAACTTGACCTTGAAATAACCTTGAAGGTCAGGTGAAGGTCAAGGTCAAATCTAGGGTCACCATTGAATAGCCAGGGAAAAATCCTAAATCTTTTGTCTGAATCATTTTCCCTCAAAATGCATTTTTCGAAAGTTATTGTACTGTTTCCATACTTTTGGGACACGTTGTATAGAAAGGAATAGTTAGCAGAGATTGAAAATCAGTTCATTAGAAAGAGATATTTATTGAAACTATTTTTACCTAACCAAAAATCTCACACTGAAAAATAAAACTGACAAATAAGAAGTATATTATTACGTTACGCATTTCAAATATACAGGGCGAGTCAGTTTTTTTATACAAACTTTAACAGGAGATAGAACACATGTTTTTAAAAAGAAAAGTTCCTATAAACATATGTCGTCAAAGGCTTCGTTTCCGAGATACAGGGTGTTGAATATATTTTTTTTCTCGAATTTTCATTATAACATAAACGAATGCTTAGATTTTTTTCATGTTTGAAGGATAATCCTATTAATTGAGAGGCATAAAACAAGCGAGTGGAGGGGGTGCTCAACCCCTTTCTTAAACAGAACTTCTACACCAATGACTATTTTTAAAAAAACTGTTATTTTCATTATCGACATACAGTTTAACAAAAATAATGTCCCTTCTTCTGTTTCAAAATTCCTGTGCGTTTCCGAGTTATTTTGATTTTTAGTGTTTGTTGTGGTACTAAATTAAGTAATTTATTTATTATCAATTATCGGCTAAATTAATTCTTTCAACGAAACCTACCTAAATATGGTTTATTAAGGATTCTAAAAAGCCGAAATCTCTTATTCTTTATCTCTTTCCAATGTAGTCAAAATAAATATTTGTTATATCAAGCTATACTCAAATACAAGACTTTTATAAGTTGAAATCTGCTACATTACATACATACAATACATTATTGTGCAGTTGCCAAAAAGTTTTAAGAAGTTGTTAATTAAATATTGTTATAAATTCAAAAAAATTCTCCATAAACGTCAACATCAATGTTCATTCAATGTTTTTTTTTGTAATTTAATTGCAGTACATTAGTATTTACGCAGCACTTAATAAAGGATTGTTAAAATTAGTGTAATAAACAGATTTCAACTTATAAAAGTCTTGTATTTGAGTATAGCTGGACATAACAAATATTTATTTTGACTACATTGGAAAGAGATAAAAGAATAAGAGATTTCGGCTATTTAGAATCCTTAACAAATCATATTTATGTACGTTTCGATGAAAGAATGAAATATTTAGCCGATAATTAATAATAAATAAATTAATTTAGTACCACATCCAACACTAAAAATCAAAATAACTCAGAAACGTACAGGAATTTCGAAATAGAAGAAGGCTCATTATTTTTGTTAAACTATATGTAGATGATGAAATTAACAGTTTTTTTAAAAAATAGTCATTGGCGTAGAAGTTCTGTTTAAGAAAGGGGTTGAGCACCCCTTCCACTCCGCCACTGTGCAAGTTTTTGAACATTCTTATCGCTTGTTTTATACCCCTCAGTTAATAGGCATTATTCCCCAAACATGAAAAAAATATAAGCATTCGTTTATGAGTTATAATGAATATTCGAGAAAAAAAATTATATTCAACCTGTATCTCGGAAACGAAGCCTTCTACGACATATGTTTATAGGAACTTTTCTTTTTAAAAACATGTGTTCTATCTCCTGTTAAGGTTTGTCTACAAAAAAACTGACTCACCCTGTAAAAGTTTAAAAGTTTATATTTTTCATCAAAATTAATAACGATATTTCTTTTTTAATTAAGTTTTGGCAGTTTAAATTTGTTTGTTTATGCCCACTTAATATTTTTGGACAACAAGTAGGTACCTGAGTTTAAATTTACTAATGCAGTGAATATTAAACAGTTACAAATTTTTAGATGCCGAAATTTTAGTGTAACATAATATACTATTGGATGTTTCCTAATTCTGAAACAGTATTTAAATACCTATTTTTAAACGCGCGTCTATTTTAATTATAATTTGTCTATACAAATATTAGTTTAGTGATAAAATTTTCGATGCTCTTTGATTTCAGTTTATAATACCATTAATAATAAGTAATGCAATAAGATGCACGACTACAATGAAATAGACTTTGGTCTCACTACTTTTTTAAATGTAAGAAACTTTTTTATGTACTTAATTATTGTCAATTAACTACTATTAACTGAAACCATCAATTCAATCTTGTACTGGGCTCTATTCCTTGTTAATCGTTATAATTATAATGCAAAATAAAAATGTCATCACTTCCTATTATATCCAACTATATAATGTAAAAATTGTAATAGTTTTTAATATTAGTATTTGATAACATTTATTGAAAATATGTTTGATAATAATTTTCTGTTCATTATGGTTATTTTCCATTTTACTTTCCTATCTATTATTTTTTAATTAGGTATGGTTACAATGTGCGTTGTTCTGAACCAAAATAATTTTTTTACATAACCTATCCAACTGACCATCTTTTAAGCATTGCTATTAATATTGACCGAAATTTAAAGAGTAAACATGTTTACCGATTTTTGAATGAATGACGGTATATTTACGTTAGACTGCAAGATACGACAGACAAGATAAATATTTTCAAAAAAATTGCAGATTTATAATAATAGACATAGTAGTGAGAAATTTATCAGTCACAGCGACGATATATTTGAAAATTTATATTTATTTCCATCTTAACCCACTTCGTTTTGTAATAAATCTTTCAGCTATCTTGTTAAAAATATTTATCAAACTAAATTTATTGTGGGAAAGATCTGATTACAATAAAATTTTATTGTGTTTTGATACATAAATATTCCCTTTCCCTTCTCAGGAAATAGTACAAAACATATACCAACATTTCGAGTTTTGGGGACGCCAACAAAACAAGTCGCCAAGCCATCAAAATAAACAGTTAACTATTATCGACATTTGGCTATACAAATTGTTTAAGAGAAAACCAGTTTATATTAGTTTATACTTACAAAATACGTTTCAATTGTGTCAATTACAATAAACAACATATAAAGTTAATAACCTGACTTTGGAATTATTTTAAATTGAATATTATCGTTCATGGAAAATAATTTGTTCATTTTAATATTATAGTTTATTTATTTTAATTTAAAATTTCAATGATAAATGTTGTCCGCCTGTGACATAATTAAATTTATAACGTTTAGTATTGTCGGCAATGAAATAAAAATAGTAACAAAGTAAAAAAAATTGTTCGGAAAATAATAAATAGAATAAATGATGCAAAAATAAATAAGTGCATTTATTATCTTTTAATTTATCAGTACTTGAAATAGCTAACTTTCAAAAATGCGGTGGGAGATTTTTAAATGTCTAAAAGATGATGAAAGACGTAGCTTTCGCCTCATGAATTATTAACACCCTTTTAGGATTAAAAACTGCTCTAATCGAGGCCGATGATTTTGCCAGTGGCACCTCTAGCAGAAGTACAAAACTCATCCATGGAGGGGTGAGGTATTTACAGAAGGCTATAATGCAATTGGATTATGACCAATATAAAATGGTAAAGGAGGCCTTACACGAAAGGGCTGCCATGCTGTGCCAAGCCCCACATCTCGCTTACCCCTTACCCATTATGTTGCCTGTCTATCAGTAAGTAAAGATGAATTATTCACTATTATTATTATTATTCATATGCTGTAAAGTCAAAAAATAATCTGTATGTCTGCGTGAAATTCTGAATATGTAAAAGGTTAATTGATTCTTTTTAGGTGGTGGCAAGTTCCATATTACTGGTTTGGTATTAAAATGTATGATGTAGTAGCTGGATCCAAAACGGTGAAGTCTTCCTATTTTCTCTCTAAGAAAAATGCATTGGAACTATTTCCTATGCTGAGAGGCGACAAGTTGTGCGGAGGAATTGTCTATTATGATGGTGAGTGTAGCTACATCAATGAGAGTGAGAATGAGAATAACATTCAATTTTAGGCCAACAAGACGATGCCAGAATGAATCTAGCAATAGCGTTGACTGCCGCAAGCCATGGTGCCACTGTAGTGAACCATGTTTCTGCGACAAGTCTTATAAAAGAGAAGAAAGATGGTAAGGAAGTTATTAGTGGTGTTAACGTGAAAGACGAGTTGACTGGAAAAACATGGAGTGTCCCAGCAAAATGCGTCATAAACGCCACTGGACCTTTTACCGATAGTATTAGAAAAATGGACAATCCTTCCATAAAGGAGATCTGTTCACCCAGTAGTGGGGTTCATATTACCTTACCAGGTAAAATTGGACTGATTTTGGTAAATTATATGTAGTTACAATGACTTGTGGTGTAGGTTATTACAGTCCTGAACAAATGGGTCTTCTTGATCCATCAACTAGTGATGGTAGAGTAATTTTCTTCCTTCCATGGCAAAAGCATACCATAGCTGGTACGACTGACTTACCCTGTGAGCCAACACATAATCCCAAACCCACAGAGGACGAAATTTTATTCATTCTTGAAGAAGTTAAGAATTATCTGAATCCAGACGTAGAGGGTAAGTAGTTCTAGTAGTATTCCAATGGATACCATACTTATTCATGACGATTGTAATTTTTTCAGTAAGGAGAGGTGACGTACTATCAGCTTGGAGTGGTATTAGGCCTTTAGTATCAGATCCAAACAAGCCAGACACACAGTCACTTGCTAGAAACCACATTGTTCACGTCAGTCCATCCGGTTTAGTTACAATTGCCGGAGGAAAGTGGACCACATACAGAGCAATGGCCGCAGAAACAATTGATACTGCTGTTGCAGGTTAGTACACACTCAATTTTTTATAAACGAAATTTAACAGAAAGTCAATAAATAAAGGGAATTGTTTAATTGTCACAAAAGGCTTAACTGATGATATAACTATTCTGCCAGCTATATGCCCCGATCAGCATTGAGTTATACCAGCACTATCTAATGCAGCTGGGATCATTCGTCAGTCGAACCCACCAGACATATACCGGTTTCAAATCCTTCCACATTACTTTAGGACTTTTTCTAGTATAAGTTGAAAAAGAGTTTTCAAAAAATATATCTATGTTTCAGCCTGTTGTCTTACACCCAAATACAATGAAAGTCAAACTGATGGTTTATTGTTAACTGGAGCACACGACTGGACCCCTACCATGTACATCCGACTCGTGCAAGATTTCGGCTTGGAGTATGAAGTCGCTCAACATTTAGCTAAATCGTACGGAGACAGAGCCTTCGCGGTAGCAAAAATGGCTTCTTTGACAGGTAGACAAATCAGAGACTGTTGCTATAAACACATATGTTGAATGCTTAATTTTAGGAAAACGTTGGCCCATTATTGGTAAGAAAATCCATCCAGAATTCCCCTACATCGACGCTGAAGTGAGATACGGAGTTCGAGAGTACGCTATGACGGCGATTGATATGATTGCCCGCAGGCTCAGACTTGCCTTCTTAAACGTGCAAGCAGCACAAGAAGCCCTTCCGGAGATAGTTGATATTATGGCCGAGGAGTTACATTGGTCCGAGAGTGAGTTTAAAAAGTCACTACTTTTTTTAATGATAAATATAATAGTCCAGTTACGCAGGATTTTTACCTCCGAATTCTTTATAACTGAACCGATTGACGTGAAATTTTGAATGAATGTGGGGAATGCCTCAAGGAACAAAACTTATATAGTGCTGAAGTGTGCTTTTGCCCTGGGGGTTGTGAAATTTTTACGGCCAAAATAACCACAGGAATCGATAGAGAAGTCAATTTTAAGTAACAAATGTTATATAAAGTTTTTTGGATAATCCAATACTTTCCGAGTAATTCGTCATTGAAAATGTTGATTTTTTACTGAAAAAGTGCTTGTTTTCAGAGAGTTTTTTGCAAATAACTCTGAAACCATTGGATTTAACGAAAAAGTTGTAATGGACAAAAAGAAAGGTAATAAAATTTTGTTCTTCTCTAAGTGCAATATAAACCGAGTTATGGATTTTTAAACATTATTATATGTTAGCTAAAAACTAAATTGGAACCAGTTAACGTTAAATAACGCCAAAACCATAAATATTAGGAAAAAACTATTTGAACCTTTTTTAAAGTACTTTGAAAAACCTTTAAAATGAGCTATTTTAAAAGTCTAGAATCAAAATTAACGGAAATATGATCGAAATAACATGATAATCTCATTTTTTTTAAGAAAAAATTAATAAACAAATCAGTGGCTTTGGCGACAGAATTAAAATTAAACGCTATCCATTTCCAGATTTCTTCATTTATGTTCTAAGAATATGTTCTGGGTCTTTGGCTCACCTACAAAGCATGATTTCGAAAAAAAAACTTTTGAAATCGTGCTTTGAAAATGTAAATTTTTCAAATTTTTGAGAAAAAATCGATTTTTACGCTGTAACTTAAAAATTAAAGGGTGTGTTTGGTGCATGCAAGATAGACAGTAAAAAAAATCTAGAAGTCAGCAATCCATTCGGACAAACACAATAAAATAAATACAGTCCACATTTGTTTGATTTGTATAAAGAATCATAAGAAGAAAAAAGTGATATTTGTTCACGACCAAGTCATACAGGGCTTACAAAAGAGGGTGGAAGAAAAAAATATAAGAGTAAAAAAATTTTAGCTTTATTTTTGCTAATTTTGCTTTTTTTATTCCTCTAAAATTAATATTAATCGAGATTTCGCCATTTTAAGTTATCATATGAATGAGAGAACCACCCTTTTCGAGCCCTTTAAACCCTTTAAATTTAAAAATGAAGGGCTTAAAAAAGATAAACTTAACAGTTCACGTAGCCCTTACAATTCCCTGCACAATGAGCCTTTGTGCGATTAAAAATTTTAAAAAGTAAGAAAGTTATAGTCAAAAAAATAAACACGCGTATAGGTGATAATTTTTAGAAAATTTAAGTCAAACAAGAATTTTGAAGCATTTTGATCTTTTTTGTATATATCGAAGAGGACGAGCATGATTGTGAAGAGAGTAGCAGTGACGACGAATAATCATTTACATATACCTAATTATAATGTTTTTTTGTATTTATTATTATTAAAAAGGAAAATAAAAATTTATAAAATAATCTTAATTTTGTGTGTGTATATACCTATATAAATGTAAGGGGTAATTTTTAAGGGTTGAAAAGTTGCAATCAATTCAAAATTATTTTATAAGATGGGAATAAATGTTTATTTAATACGAATGCACATCTACTCTTTCAATAATATTTTTTCATTTTATTTTCGAAAGAAGGGGTATTTTTCAAGAGTTGAAAAGTTGCAATCGATAAAAAAGATTTTTTAATAAGAAATCAAATTTAATTTGATAAAAATGCATGATTAAATTGTTTCTAGTTGAAAAAAATTTTTTTATATTATTTTCATCCAAAGGGGTGATTTTTAAAAGGTTTTCCGGGTTGAAACTTTGAGATACATTAAGTTTCATGTTAGATAATACATAAAATTACTCATACTGTATAAATAAAAAAGATTTGATTACATAAAATGCTTAAATTTGTATTTTTTCTTTTTTCCAATAAGGCGTGGTTTTCACCCCTTAAGAACAAAAAGCACACCTAGCGCATATATAAGTTTTGAAGTGGGGGGTAAGATGAGCCTAATTCTAAATTTTGAGAAAAATCGATGCAGTTATAAAAAATTCGGAGGTATTACTATATTTTCAGCTAGAGTAACTGGACTACAATGGAATAATGTCTGTTTACGCTCACGTTAGTTACAATAATCCTCAACAATAAACATTTGTTTCGGTAGTATGTTAGGTTAGTTTCTTAATTTTATTATTATATACATTTTTTAATCCGGTATGTTGGTTCCATTTCCATTCTAAACCCTCTTGTTCTGTTTTTGAAAATAAATGAGTTAAATAAATTACATTTTAGAGGAAAAACAGGATCAAATAAAGGCAGCGACAGGGTTCCTTCAAACTGAGATGGGCCAAAACGTCAATCGTGCCAGTCGCGATAAAATACCTATCAATCTCAGTAAAGAAGAAATACAACTGTATATTAAGAGGTTCCAAATCATTGATAAGGACCGTAAAGGATATGTTTCCATCAATGACATCAGGAGAAGTTTGAAGGTATGTAAAAATATCGTACGTTCAGATTTACAAAATTCAGTTTTGGAAATATGTAAATTGAGTAAAAAAAAGATTTTTAAATAACGTCACACCAAAATCCAAAAAATTTATGGAAAGAATATGTTGATTATTTGCATTTTTATTTCTTCTCAATAACAATTCAGTTTCTAGACAGGGTGTGGCGTGTGTAATCTATAAAAATTAAACTACAGCTTCCTGACGATATTTGTAATAGAAAAGTCTTATACAAAGAAGTTCTATCTTTGTTTTTTTGTAAATTAAAGTGCATTTATTCAACGAAAATGAAGGTCGACCCTGTGTTATTTATTAAAAACTTTGAAAATGTTTTTATGTGACCCGAGATGCAATCTTATAGTTTGAGTCGGTATAATCTAATACTAGTAATACTAACAGAAGGTTAGGTTACATTGTCAAAAAATTTGTGCAGTCAACTGATTTTGTATTTGTATTGAATTCATTATTCACTTAATTATTAAATATTAAGCATCGTCCATCGACCCATTAGTATTAAAAAGTGAAAGATTCCAGACAAAAGTTGTTATTTTGTAATTCCATGATAGGAACAGTGTAATTTTTATAAAGAAATAAAAAAATAAGAATAACGTGCCGATTACATTAAAAACAAGATTCTTATTTCTTACTTTGCTTAATTTTTTAGTTTGTGCACAAACTAGTTTTACAATGAACCGAGAAAACAATGCATTTACTATTTCCGAACGTGTCGATATGGTGTTAGTGTATGGTGCAGCCAGAGAAAATGCGCTCGCGGCGACTAAGTTGTACCGGGAACGATGGCCACAACGTCACCCCCCATGTGCAAATACAATCCTACAGTGCGTTCAGCGGCTGCGGAATACGGGAAGTGTTATTCTTCGCGGAGAAGGACGTGCTCAGCAAGTGAACCTTAATGTTGAAAATGCAGTGTTGGAAAATCTTGACGAAGATCCCACAATTAGTACTCGACGACTCGCACAGCAAGTAAGAACCTCATCTTTTACCGTGCATCGCATCTTAAGGCGCCAGCTGTTGCATCCCTATCATCTGCAACCAGTTCAACAGATTTTACCCCCGCATTGTGATCAACGAATGCGTTTTTGCAGATGGTTTTTATGGCAATATGTCAAAGTAGACTTTCCTGCTTATGTTTGTGTAACAGATGAGGCGACATTTACCCGTGATGAAGTGAATTTCCATAATATGCACATATGGGCCGATGAAAATCCTCACGCGATTAGGGAATCTCATTTCCGACATCGGTTCTCTTTAAATGTATGGGCTGGCATAATAGGCGATGTACTTGTGGGTCTTATTTCTTTGAAGGACGACTAAATGGACCAACATATACTGACTTTTTGGAGAACTGGTTGCTGAATTATTGGACAATGTGGCATTACAAGTTCGGGTGTACGCATGTTTTATCTTCAAGATGAGGCTTCTCCCCACAGTACTCGAGAAGTAACGACACTTTTGAATGAAATGTTTCCTCAGCGATGCATTGGACGCTTTGGTCCTGTGCCGCGGCCACTTCGGTCACCCGATCTAACTCCAATGGACTTTTATCTTTGGAGTCACTTGAAGTCATTGGTTTCCAATACTCCAATTGCTACTGTGGAAGAATTGCAAAACCGTATACTTGAAGCTGCTGACACAATTAGGGGAATACCTGGAATTTTTACAGATGTGGTTTTGTTTGCGAACTCTTGCACTAACAAAAATACATTTAAGATAGTAATTACTATTAATTATTATAATAAGAAAATATCAGTTTTTTTTAAATATCTATTTTTCTTAGTTTGTACTTTTGCATTGAAAAATTCCCCAAAAATTGAGTATCTTTCTATCTTTCAACGACGATTTGTTTACGCGGCTGATCTACAGCACGTAACTCATCGTACAGCACACGGACAGGATCATTCCAAAGAAAATATTTTGATCCATAATTGAACTTTAATTTGCGAAAAAAAAACGCAAAAATATAACTTTTTCGTATAAGACTGTTCTATTACAAATATCGTTAGGAAGCTGTAGTTTAATCTTTATAGATAATACACGCCACACCCTGTATATGTTGAGTGTTTTGTAACCTCTAAAAGAAATTACAAGTAGAAGCAAATGATGTACAACTAATGCTTTCTAATAATTTTTGCGAGTCCGTATCTAATCACAAAAGTTAAAATTAATTTTTAATTTTAACTGCCAGATTTTATATGGTTACGAATTTAGAAGTATTACATTGATGCATAAATTCATAGTTTAGATTCAAAACTTAATTTTTTGAAATAAACAAAGTATCATACATTAATGTATCCTTCTGCGTTGTTCACGACCAGGTCTTGACGTTTTTCGATTTCACACCTGAAACAATTGAGTAATTTGGAATTAGACATTTTAAAGAGCAGTTCCTCTGTTAAAAAATAATGGCTTGCCTTTGAAAATTATTAGATGAAGAGTGGTAATAGAGCAATGTTAGGAGCATTGTTATCCTGCAACATCATTTGGATGGTCTAGTGGCCCCAAGATGACTTACTTTTTACTTCCATTTTTCAAATCTCTCAAATGTACTGATATGTATACAGTAACTTTTTGTGCATCCGAAGGTACTGCAGTCTTGTGGCTTTTGAACTTCATATTTTCATTTTCAATCTAGTTAACTTTCCAGTAAAGGGGCACCTTGCACAAGTTTCTTGCCTGAGGATGTGGGTGTATTCTTTTGGATACAACTTTTGTAGTCTTTAAAGAAATTGTCTTCTGTAGTTCAATGCTTCACACTACCCTCAGCATGTGTCAGATTTTTCCTCAGATCACCATGTCGTATGAAGAGGCTTATCATCCCACACAGCACAATGACATTCGTAGGATGTACTAAGGATAACTTCTCAGGATATATAGGATATCCTCGGATAGGTACACAATCACCTCAGGATGTACCAGGGATATCCAAATGGAACGTCCCGGGATTTGCTCGTAACGTCCTGAGGACATCCGCCTGGCTATCTGCAGGAGATTATCAGGTTATCAGTGATCAAATGAGGACGTCCTAGGATTTACTGTGTATGTCCTCAAGACATCAGCCGGGCTATTATCAGGTTATCAGTGGATCAAATGAGGACAACGTAGGCTTTACTGTTGATGTCCTCAGGACATTAGCTGGGCTATATACAGCACATTTTTAGTACTTATTGGGCTAATAAAAAAAATTACAGGGTGGTATTAAATATTTCTATAGATCAAATACGTACCTAATTTCCAAAACATTTGCTTGCCATTTCCACTCCATCTAATATTTTTTATTAAAAAAAAATATTGACAAAAAAATGAAAAGGGAAATCTGATCATTTATCTATTCGGTTATAATACGAGATTTGATTTCTTTGAATACCACTGGAATAAAAATTAACAATACAATATTTTGGATCTGTCGATTAGATTCGTCATAAATACGTAAAGGGTAGTTTTAAAATTCTCTTTTCATGAGATTTAAAGACATTTTACATTTTTCTGCAAGAAGTATTCCATCGTTGATACACGTATGTATTTTTTAAACATTTTACTCACCCACTTACTAAAATCTGACGAGAAAATTCTGTAACATAGCCACCGGCAGATATTTTTCTGTTTAAGACAACAACTACTACAGACAAGACTACATACAAGTTTTCAGAAACATCTCCAAATTATTTAGATATACACATCAACGGTTCATATTATTCATAAAACTGGTTTGAGGCATTTTTTTAAACTGGAACAAATAAGACCTAAAGTACTTCATGAGAATAAAATATAAACTTTAATAGCACTTATTTTTAAACTGAGTTCTTGAATAAAAAAATAAAATTGAACTGAATTTTTTTATTCATTGCACATTATAAATATAAACTTAAAAAGCAAATTTCACATGTACTTATATATATATAATCAACTCTTTCTATGATACATATAACCAACTTTTTTATTACAGAATATAAACAAAGTTATATACACAACTAAGTTATTATTTGTATTATATGTATAACTATTCCTTATGTGCTGTTGATCTGGTCTCTTTTTATAGTCTCTCATTTGCATGCCGCGACATGTTTTAATGCCCTCCCCATTATCTTTTTCTGGGCAATTTTTTGTGCAATGTGCTTGTGAAATTCCAGCTGTAAATTTGTAGAAAAAGTATGTTAATAATACATTTACATTGTAGACGAGTGACAAAACAAAAATTTTCATTAAATACATTTAACGAGACTATTCTAATTTCATGAACTATGGATTATAATCTGTTGATATTAAATTTAATTCTAATATTCTAATAGATAATACGTAATTCTGCCTACGATTTATAATGTAATCCTTATAACTCACAATGTTGGTACAAATATTACAGACAGAGAACTATAATAAATTAATTAAATTTATGGGATACAATCCTTTGTCAGAACACCTATATACAACACATTCAAAACTAAAAATTATAGATTTGAACATATTATGTAGATTTGGTGATACCACTTATACACATCTATTACAAATAGTGATAAAAACTATTCTAATTTTTGAATGGTATTAGGCTCTATATAAAAAATATTTGAAAACATGTTTTTTTAATGCGTTCTTTAGGCATTATATAATTATTGCATGATACAAACAGTAAGAACAAAATTAGTTAATACTATATACGATTCTAACCTATATGTTTATTCTATGATATTAATACCTTAATACCAAAGGTAATTTAAATACTTACTTCTGCCAGCAGGTGGTTGATGCACGTCACTTAACTATTTTAACAAGCTTTAAATTTCATTTTCCACTTTTCAAATTAATAAAAACGTCATTGAGTCACGCACTTATAAAACAAAGAAACACAGAAAATGGCGAGATACGGGTCATGTCGTCAATATGTCATACTGCGCATGCACCATGCACTGTGCAAAGCCAAGAACCATCCCAGGATGGGATCACTCTAGAATTTGCCTAGGATATCCCAAAATTGGAGATTATTCGGCTTTTAATATCTTCATAGGATATTTCCAGGACATCCTGTTTGGATTTACCTGGGATATCCCCAACTAGGATATTGATAGGATCTACTTGTCTTATTTAAATATCATCAGGATATCCTGAGGAGTGAGATCCCCGATTAGGATATATAGGACTAAATGAGGATATCCCAGGGACGTCATGTGCTGTGTGGGATTGTATGTAACGAATTATTTCCTAATGCATTCAGCACTCTTCTTGTTGGTTGTTTGGTAAAAGTCCATGTTGCTATCTAGCATGGACACACAGTACTTCTCATGATTCTTACTATTGATCATTTAGCTATTTATGGTTTTTGCAACTCCCAGGGCAAGATCGGGGCTAAAAGCAATACGAATTTATGCATCATTGTATAGATGAGACTGAATATCTTCTCATCAACATAATTAAATACTGAATCTAAAATTTACACTAACATATACAGGGTGTAACGTAAAGGTTGGGAATAAATTAAACAGTGGATTCTTTAGTTTAAAAAATAATTTTTTGTCATATGAACTTATGCTCTACGGGCTTTCTTTTCCAAGCTACAGGGCGCTAAAAAAATTCAAAAAATTTAGTTTTTCTCCAATAACTTTCGAACATTAGAAGATAATGGAATGAAATTTTATCCATAGCTTAATTTGATAATCCCCTAGTAACAGGAAAAAGATTGGCTTTGTAAGTTACTCAGTGGCGTGCGTACGTATTACACCGTAAAGTTTTTCGAAGAAAATTGTGGTACGCCACTGGTAAAAACATTTTTTTAATATTTTTGTGTAATCTACATTTTATTTTAAACAAAATTACCCTCTTGCGTTTTATTCCTAGCTCTTGTCACTTTTCCGTAAATAAACGTTTTGTAAATACCATTTTTTCCTATTGCTAACATAGGAAAATGAAAATAAAAACATTATAAGTATGCTTTGACCAAGCCACCAAAATTTGTTTTCAGATGTTTTCAGACAAAACATCATTGTCAGTCATGACATCTAGCTTTCCTTAAGCGGTTGTACTTTGGTTTAGATCTGTTAGAAATGGAATACTCATTTCCAGAATTAGCAGATATGCATTTTATTTACAGCCTTGCCAAGGGGAATACTATGTTAGCTGTGCGTCTTTATGTTGAACGTTTTCCAGCTCGGTGTATTCCAAATAGGAAGACTTTTTCGAGAATTCATGTGCGCTTACGTGAAACCGGCTCGTTAAAACCTTGCACCTCCGGCGGAAGATCTCGAAATGTAAGGACAGTACAACTTGAAGTACCACATCCTTCAGATGATCGAGGTGAATCGTAAATCAAGTAGGTACTAGAAGAATTGGAAGAATGGAGAGAGTAAGTCATATGACTGTCCAACGAATCCTGCATGATAATCTGCAAAGAGTTCAGGCGCTTTCTGTCGAAGATTATGCACCACGTCTTAGATTTTGTACCTGGTTTTTAAATAAGTGCAATCGGAACTTGTTATTCCACCCATCCATTTTATTTACCGACGAAGCTGGATTTACAAGGGATGGTATAATTAATTTCCACAATAGTCATATGTGGGCTGATGAAAATCCGCATGGAATAATACAATCCCGGCACCAGCAACGATTTTCAATTAATATTTGGGCCGGAATAATTGGCGATTTTTTTTATTGGCCCCATAGTACTACCAAACAGACTAGGCGGTTTATCGTATCTGGATTTCCTTCAAACAGATTACAACCTTTATTAGAAGAAGTTCCAATTGAAACACGCCAGAACATGTGGTTTATGCATGACGGCGCCCTCAATGAAACGTTCCCCAATAAATAGATAGGTCGTGGAGGGCCAAAAGCGTGGCCTGCTCGTTCTCCCGGACTTAATCCATTAGACTATTATGTGTAGGGGGCACTTAAAAAACATAGTTTATTCCGTTCCCATTTCTGATGTACAGATTCTTCGTCAAAGAGTTGAAATTGGCTGTCAGCAAATTCGAGATATGCCTGGTATTTTTGGACGAGTAAGAGAATTTATGAGAAAATGCATTGAAAAATGTATTGTAAGTTGGGGGGGCAATATTTTCAGCACCTTTTGTAATCTTGTTCATTACTTCTTATTACCTACTCAATAAATTCTTTAAATTCCAAGTCACTAGTGTTTTTTTTATTATTGTTAAAATAATGTGATATTTTAATATCATTTTCAAAACAAACAAGTCTTTTTTAATGCGTGTTTGACCATTTTCGGTAGCTGAGTCAAAGCATACATCATAATGTTTTTGTTATTTTCATTTTCCTATGTTAGCAGCGGGAAAAATGGTATTTGCAAAAGTTTTATTTACGGAAAAATGACAAGAGCTAGGAATAAAACACAAGAGGGTAATTTTGTTTAAAATAAAATGTAGATTACACAAAAATATTTAAAAAAATTTTTTACCAGTGGCGTACCACAATTTTCTTCGAAAAACCTTACGGTGTAATACGTACGCACGCCACTGAGTAACTTACAAAGCCAATATTTTTCCTGTTACTAGGCGATTATCAAATTAAGCTATGGATAAAATTTCATTCCATTATCTTCTAATGTTCGAAAGTTATTGGAGAAAAACTAAATCTTTTGAAATTTTTTAATGCCCTGTAGCTTGAAAAAGAAAACCCGTAGAGCATAACTTCATATGACAAAAATTTATTTTTTATACTAAAGAATCCACCGTTTAATTTATTCCCAACCTTTACGTTACACCCTGTATATTTAAATCATTTTTTAACAGTCCTTAGGTATAAAACTAACAGACGAGGAAATTCACAACCTACTCTCTGACATTAACGTAACGTACAACGGCCAACTGGATCTGGCTGACTATTTACAAGTAAGTTGAAAATATGTTCTAATATCTTGTTATCGTTGCAGCAACACGGTGAAAAGGAGGTTCCTGGTGAGGAGCTCCATGAAATTCTTAAAGAAATTGATACGAACATGAATGGACAAGTCGAGCTCGATGAATATTTACAGGTTTGATAACAGATGCTTGTTTGTGTGCATCTTGGCAGATTTTTTTTGTTTTCGCTAATTTTTTCTTAACAAGCAACGAGTGGATTAAATAAAACGCAGTTTTTTTTTAGTTTCTGCTACCATACTTTTTCTTTGTGGTAGTTTTTTGCTTGTGCTTTTGAGAAAAGTTTGTATAGTAGCAAGATTTTAAAATTGTCAGTCTGTCCTTGTAGTCACTCTAATGACTTTACTTCCTTTTTCTGCAGTTTCACTCAAAATTATACTTTTGTTAAGTGTAACTGTATAATTCAGCGAATTTCAGAACAATGTAGAAAATAATATCTCCATTGCAACATCTATGGTTTTAGGAATTATGGCGGTTAGTGATCTTTTGTGTGTTTTATTATTATTATTATTATTATAGTATCTATGTTGGTAAAGTGTGGGAAAGGAATGTTTAACTTCTTCTGTTTTTGTAGGATTTAGTTTTCATTCTAGATATTAAAATTATCTACTGATATTTTGTTGGGGAAAATTGCTCCTGTTTTCACACGAATAAATTATTTTATTTTATTTATCTTTTAAACTAGACAGATCAGACAATTATCAAATCTGAGAATATGCATACATTTTTGCATAACAGCTGTTATATTAGCTTAAATTTCCTTACAAACTTTTAAATGCAGGCTGACCCGAATTAGCCTATAATATTATACCCAGTGGCGGCCCGTGGGTTTGAATACAGGGGGGGGGGAGGGGCGCATTTTGAAAAGAGGACATACATCATAAGAGCAGCGGGGGGTGTGGGGCCGCAGGCGAAACATTTTAAGGAATTTGAAGGTCATTGTGTTTTGCAAGTACCCCAAAATGAATACTGTCAGTGTGTACAGTAGCTACTTAGATACAATGCGAGAAACAAAATTCCAACGTGTGGGGGCTGAAGTGGATAATCGATAATCGAACTCAGTTAGGATATAATTATGTAGATTACTGTAATAGTTCATTCTGTATAGTTTTTGAAATTCCTTTAAAAACATGGGCATCACTAAGATGTTTATCTAAAACGGGATCAATTTTTGTACTATAGTCTATCAGTTCTAAAAATACCCCTTTGTTTACCGAGTTACTTTCTTTATTATGTCCACGAAGAGAAAGGTTACATGTACCACATAGTTTTAAGATATTTAAAATTTTTGAAAGAAGCAATCGATTTTTCTTAACTGTTTCGTTATGACTATTTACTATTTATTTGTTCTGCATAAGCACTATTTAAACAAGAAGCAATATTTACTCTTCCTAAAAGTAAAAAACTCACCAACTTATTTTTGTGTTTAGGAGAATTTTCATGTTTCTTAATTTTAATTTCTAAATGTTTCAAGTCAGAAACTCCAGTTTTCGTCCAGTTTTCTTCGCCTCCTCCAAACAATAAACATACAAAACAAAAAAATCTATTTGTTTGGTCACAACCACACAACCACAGGGTCTTATCATAAATGTTTTTATCAAATTTGCGAAAGCCGGCCCACTTTTTGCACTCTTTCTGCACCTCAACTAAATTCAACACTGGCGTTGGACGTCCGTTATTTTTCAATTCGACTTTTTCCTCTAAACTTAAATTACTAATAACAAGTTTTTTTATTTCACAAACCCTCATTTTAAACTTAAACTTATAAAATATAATGTCTTAAAAAGCGCCAAAGCAAAAACAAAACACATATAACCACACTTCAGTGATACGGGTTACTGCCTCATGGAGTCCCAAAACAAAGCGCGCGAGCGCGCGAGCCTATCGTCGCCTATCCCCTCCACGTGCCAATTTGTCCAATCATATGTAAAAATATGCTTGCACGATGGACTCGGATTTCACGGTCCGCGATGGAGTGGGGATTGCACGCGCGGTTAAACATAACTCTTTGGTACGATCATAGATGGCAGATGGCATTAATCTGAGCTACGTTCACGGAGTACATGCACGTTATGCAACCAACCTAACATCTAAGAGATATTGAATACATGCTATTTAGATTTCTTATTGATTTAAATAAATACATTATTTTAAGTTTATAGTGCAGATAGATCTCTTTAAAATAATGTGTTTGCCTTATAAACATTGGTCTGGAACAGCACCGTTTTAGATATACAGGGTGATGTTGTTAAAAAAAATGTTTTTTTGTTTATATCTCGGGAATCTATTACCCGATCTCAATAAAATTTGGTACAGATAATCTATGATATGAGCTCTAAAAGTACAACCAGTGGTGTGGAAAGGGTCAACTACTTTTAAAAAAAAAAACCTACGCCACGGTATTTTTTACAAGCTAATTTATATTCTAATGCACAAAATACTTAAAAAGGTAACTTGAATTTTTTCCCTAAAATTCTGCCGTTTTCAAGTTATTCATACCAATACAATCACTTTGTGCAGACATTTCTACCCATAATATTACAATTATATTTATTTCTATCACGCGAGCTCGCTATGGGACCTATAGTGTAGGGGGTTAGGTGCACTGGAAAGTGCTAGATAGTACAACAGCGTGATGTTATTTTCATAGCGCAACGCTGGAGCGTTGCGCTATGAAAATAACATCACGCTGTTGTACTATCTAGCACTTTCCAGTGCACCTAACCCCCTACACTATAGGTCCCATAACGACTCGCACTTGTGATAGAAAATAGTATGTGCAACTCGTTCGGAAAAGTTGCCATAGCGCCACTTGGACGCTTTCCGCACTCGCTTCGCTCGTGCGTCAACTGCGTCCGCGTGGCGCTATTGGCAACTTTTCCCCACTCGTTACACAATGTACTATTTTATGCTTAAAAGTAAGTGGAAATTGTAAGCACATCAACAAAATTCTTTACACTCGTTTCTACACCACCTGTAGTGGTAGGTAGAGTTCCTTACGCGTTTTAGTTTCTTCTGGAAGCTTAATCCACTATCTTTACAAATAAGAACAACTTAAATCAAAGTAATAATAAATGTACATTTACCAAAGGCGAGGGGTAGTGAATTTTCACATTCTGTATATTTGATCCAAGAAAATGTAATTCGGACAAGATCTTTTCAATAAGAATTTTCTGTGAACGTGTGGCTCGGAATAATTCGCAATAAAGTTTGTGAACCTTTCTTCTTGCCACCCCGACTAAATTCCCAGTCATTTATAAACTTTCTAGAAAACCATCTATTTAAATTATTAGAGCATGTTCCATTAAATATACGCCAAAATAGCTGGATACAATGGAGGTACTCCTGCGCATTCTGGGGGAATAATATAAGAATAGCTTAATGAAAATTATATGGGGCGATAGATAGGTAGAAGACCAAATGCCAATGTCAACCATAATGGTGCAGAGGGTCCAATGTCTTCGCCAGCCAGATTGCCATATCTAAACCCCCTTCTGGACTTCTATGTTTGGGGTTATCTAAAAAGTAAAGTTTATTCTACTCCAGATACAAGACCACAACGAATAGAAGACGGGTGTAATGAATTAAAATAAAACCATTTTTGATATTAGCTTCAATTAATTCCAGTAATAGAAGATGTCAGAAATGTATCGATGTGAGTGGTTCGCATTTTTAACAATTGTTGTAAATACATAACGTTAATTTTGTTTCTTGTTTAGTTGCTGTTGCTTGGTACATATATTTTTATTATTATTTTGATTTAAATTGTTCTTTTTTGTAAAGATAGTGGATTAGGCATCCAGGGGAACTAAAACACACTAGGAACACTACCTCACAGGTGGTGTAGAAAGGAGTGTAAATAATTTTCTTGATGTGCTTACAAATTGCACTCACTTTTAAGCATAAACATAAATATTCTTGTAATATTATGGTTAGAAGTGTCTGCCACAAGGAGATTTTATTGGTATGAATAACTCGAGAACGGCGAATCTTAGTTATCTTTTTTACATAGTTTGTGCATTAGAATATAAATCAGTTACAGTGACTCGTAAAAAATGCAGTGAGATAGGTTTTTTTGTAAAAAAAGGGGTGACTCCTGTCCATTTTTGTACACCACTAATTGAAACCGGTTATAAATTAAAATACCATTTGACTTATTTCATACAAAAAAGGAATATTACTTTTATCTGTAAATATTGGTCCTTGGATGTTGTTCATTTAATTTTCTCACGAGGTACTTCTAGTGGTAAATTTTTTTAACACATTTTTACTAAATACTTGATAAAAGCATGCCCCTTTGTAGTAATTTCTTGTTGAGTTTATCTAACCAACAAAATATTTATTTGCACCTTAAACAATATTAATTCCTTGCCACCTTTTTAAGTAGTGTCAATTTTTTGAAACAAATTTCTTGTCCTAGATGATGTCGGCCATCAAATCCGGACACGTTACATATTCGAGATTTGCCAGAATGGCTGAGCTCGAAGAAGCCAAACACGAAAAAGAAATGTTGAAGAAGAAAATATCCGTTGAGCGCAGTGGAGGAGGTTTATAAATTTTTTTCATTAATTCTTAGCGTATTTTTAAATAATCATCTGCACATATATCATGTAAGGTCATTTTAGAAAATAAAATTTTTATATGTCAAAATGAATACTCAGGAGTATAACTTATTATGTTCCTTATTTATTAATTAAAATCATTTTAATGACAATAGTAATTGAATTATGTTTTCGTTTTAAATATATTGTATATATTTATTTAATTTATTTTTTTTGTCGTTGCCTATTTTAAAATTGAAATAAAGATAATTGTTATTAAATATGCGTTTTATCTTTAATCAAAGAAGGAATTGGTTTAAGTAGTATTTTATTTTAGATAAATGTAAAAACAGTAAATGTAGAAGCTATATAACAATTTTCATTACTAGAATTACAAACATTAAAAAAAATACTAAGTACAATCAATACTGCTAAGGTACAAAGTTATTTATAAAATAAGTTTAAATAATAAGAATAAATTTAGAAAGATACAAACAATACAAAAAATTAAGATCCATATACCCTTTACACTAGTTGTAATATCCGTAAATTCACTGTATTCCTTTTTTTGCAATTTAGCTTTATGTCTTGAACCTGAAAAAATATAGTCAGATTAGAGAGTTTAAAATGTGTTTGTTAAACGATTAAGTTCTAGTCATATACAGGGTGTCCCATTCATGTTTCAAAAAAACTTGTTTGCAAGTTCCTTATGGGAAAATAATGGGGATAATTCATGTAAAATTTTTTTCTTAGACGCCCTGTTTTCACAGTGTGTTGAAGTTGTTACTTTCCAAATGGTTTTCACTTTTCCTTAATTATCTTTAAATCGGATAAAAATGTCAAAATTTGTACACGAGTAAACATTAACTGTGCGTTAAGAATAATGTGCAAACGGTTTCTTTCTGAAAAGCAGTGTCGTCGATACAGGTAATTGAAGGGGTACAATCAAAGAACAAATATGTTAAAAGTAAAAATTTATTACATTTCTAAACGGTTCTGTAAACTCTAAAGGATACTACAAAAAAGGTATACTTGTCGAAACTCGGTAGCATGTACCATTTTCGAGAAAAATGAAAAAAAAAAAAAACAGGGCGTCTAAGAAAATAACTACATGAACTACCCCCATTAATTTTTCCATAATGAACTTGCACACAAGTTTTTTTGAAATGTGAATGGGACACCTTGTATTTGTAAAAAAAGTATAGTATTTAGATTCTCACTGTGCTATAAAAACTGCAACATTTTCACAATATTTCACATATATTTTAATAAAATAACTGAAAATTCTATCAACAGCAGTAACAAAGTCCTTCCGCAAAGTAAAGCATAAAGGGTTGTCATTAATTTCCAGCATATATTTTTGAAATTATAATAAAAGAGTTGAGGCACCTGTACCAGACAGGTCAGACAGGATATGTCTCTAATGATGCATAACTTTATTTTCAAACAAACCTTCAATTTCAAACATTTAGTATAACTGAAATTCCTATAGAAAAAAAACTTATACTTCTTAAAAACTACTAAAAGTCGTTTATATCACAACGGTTATTATTAAACAAAAGAAGAAAAAAATATAGGCTACGGGAAGTTATTGTTTTATGCATTTATTGTATTCAGCAGAGATACCGATTGATTTTTATTTACTTACAACACATTATCTTGAAATTTATAGTTTTAAGTTTAAAACAATGATATTGGTAATGACTTTATTTGGATCCGAGACACTTTATATAGTCCAACCTAATTACACTTGGAGAAAAAAATAAATTGTTACCTCGACTTTTATAAGTGGAAATGGTAAAAGGGCTTATAATAAACCTAAAAAAAATAAATGCGTGAGCAAGGGCGGCGGAGGGTTGATTTGTGGGGTTGAAAAGTTATGAATAATTGTATCATTGGGATTTCTGGCGAAAGTTGACGTTAAACAAAAAAGTATACAATACAAAAGTTGTAGATCATGCAAAAATCTATAACTTTTGTAGAAGTCACTTTTTGGCATAACCTCAAAATTTCCGAAAAAAATGCGAAAAACAGTTTTTCTACAAAACTGTTAAAAGTCATTTTTGATGTTAAAAATGTCATTTTTTGACACGCGTGTGTGTAGCGAGTAAGTTACTTTTAACATTAGTGTTTGTAGAAAAAATAATGTATGATATACGTGTTAAAAGTGATTTTATTTTGTTCGTGAAGTTAAAAAACTCGCTACGCTCGTTTTTTAATCATCTTCACTCACAAAATAAAATCTTACTTTTAACACGTATATCATAAATAGCTATTTTTTTCTGATTTTTCCTTTTTTATTTCTCATTTCCGCAAAAATTTAATTTTGACGAAACTTGGTGAAAGTATACCTTTCTCTAAAGATCTAAAAATAACCTCAAATTTTTTTAGATAAAAAAATCAAGAAGTTTCTGAGATATTCATTTTTTTGGGCCTAAAACACTTTTTTTTTCAAAGAAAAATTCTACTTAAAAAAATCTTCGTACAGAGTTCTGTCGGTAATCATTTATTTCGTTTTAACATATACTTTTTAGTGAAATAAAAAAATCTGTAATAACAGTTCAAAAACATACTGAAAAATGCAAAAAAATGACTTGCAACAATGAATTTTTCAGTTATTGTTGATAATTTGTTTAAATTAAAAAACATTCAAAAACTGATTACACCATTCAATTCTACGGAAAAAAAACTGTGTCTCATTGTTTGATCCAAAAGTTTATTTTTGTACAGTATTGCTATAAACATCTAAGTAAGTTGAATTACAAATGCTCAAATGATAAATTATCTCTGGACGATTTGAGATTTCAGCAATACAAAGTATTAACTGCAGTCTACTGTTGACGCGAAATCCGAAAACCCGAAATTTTGTAAACTCGTTTTATTTTTTTTCTGGCTTTATTTGAAAACGAATTTTAAATAAATTGCATATTTACATTGCCACCGTTTTCGCTCTATCCAATGGCGTCAACATTTTTGCAATCCGACGTTTCGTCTTCGAGGGTCCATCATCAGATTAATTTTTTTTTAATATATCGCTGCTATTTTTATGACAAAATCTAGTCATTTTTAATTCTGTATTAGATGATATTACTATTGTAATCTCTTAAAAAGGTTTTTAGCTATCATTAAAAAATTTTCCCGAGTACGGCTCTGAACGCTTTCAAAATACCTGGATCTATTGGAGGAGAGAGAGAGAGAGAGAGAGAGAGGAGAGAATAAAAGTCAATACAGCACAAAATATCCAACAATTTTTTTAATCCATAATTTAAAAAATTGTACCTAATAAAAAAATAATACAAATTTATGAAATATTTTATTATTTCTAATTAGTATTGCTAATAGTAGTAAAAATTTGTTGGATATTTTGTGCGGTATTGACTTTTATACTGTTATGACTTCATCTAATAGATATTTTGAAAGCGTTCAGAGCCGTACTCAGGAAAAAATTTAAATTATAGCTAAAACAAGCTAAAAAAAGCATATTGTTAGGCATAAAAAAACACAACTTTTTTCTAATCTGAGCCACCCCATATCTCTTACCGTTTCTTAGATCCTAATGCCTAACCCATCCTTATCTTGGACACACTGTATATCTATGAATTCATCAAACTTAAAAAAAAATAAGTACACTAATTGATCCTACGGAAAAAAATATTATTTATTTTATTTATTCACTATTCGACTTATGTTTATAGCAATACTGTACAACAATAGTTTTGGGTCAAAAAATGGGACAGTTTTTTTGTATTTTTTACGTACAATTGAATGGTACCTATAATCAGTTTTTGATTTTTTAAATTTAAACAAATTATCAACAATTACTGAAAAATTCATTGCATCTTTGAGCATGTTTTTGAACTGTGATTGCAAATTTTTTTTATTTCACCAAAAAGTATGTCAAAACGAAAAAAATTATTACCGGCAGAAGATTTTTTTAAGTAGAATTTTTCTTTGAAAAAAAGTGTTTCAGGCCGAAAAAAATGAAAAACTCAGAAACTTCTTGACGTTTTTATCTAAAAAAATTTGAGGTTATTTAAGACAGAGAAAGGTATACTTTCACCAAGTTTCGTCAAAATTAAATTATTTTTGCGGATATGTGAAATAAAAAACGAAAAATCAGAAAAAAAACTAGTTTTTCGCATTTTTCTCGAAAATTTTGAGGTTATGTTAAGAAACGACTTCTACAAGAGTTGTAGATTTTTGCATGATCTACAACTTTTGTATTGGTTACTTTTTTGTCTGACGTCGACTTTCGCCAGAAATCCCAATGATACAATTTCTCATAACTTTTTACCCCCCAAATCAACCCTCCACCGACCCTGCTTACGCATTTATTTATTTTTTTTTTCGTTTATTATAAGCCCCTTTACCATTTCCACTTATAAAAGTCGAGGTAACAATTTTCTTTTTTTTTCCCCTCTAAATGAGTTATTTTGATGGGTCTAATATACCTATGTAATATTAGTTTATTTCTTGTGTCATCTTTCTTAAAGTCCATTATCAAAATGGAATTTTGATTCGCAAATTTCATTAGCAAAGGATTAAATATTGTTCATGTTCATATAAAAATTGAGCTACATTTTTTTTAGGATATAATAGTACCTAAGTTAAATTATTTAAAGCTTACACTGATAAAGATTGTGTTATACATCAGGAAAATGTAAATGAATGGAACATTATATGATAGGTACGTTGTGTAGAATTTTGTTTCAAAAATTGATCTATTCATCGTATATCAAATAACTGGAGAACGAACGCTCGCCAGAAAAAAGTAAAGTTACACTTTTTGCTCTAAAGGGAACAGGCAATTTAGAAATTCACCTAACTTTTTTTAAAGCCAGTGGCGTAGAAGCATTTAAGAAAAACGAGGTCCCCATATCTCAGTCATTGAAAGCTTCTAGTTATGAGGAGTACGTAGTGTAGTTTTCGTACCAAATTTGGGATTATTCCCTCCTAACGATTTCAAAGTTTTTGAAAAAAAAAATTGTTTTTATTCAAGAGAAAATGTGTAATTTACTGCCTTAAGTTTATTGAATGTTAATTTCACTTCACATAGGTATGTCGTAACTTACCTTCGAAAAATATTTAAGTATGTAAAAAAGATATTCTTTCTAAAAATATTACAAAATAATAAAGCCTTTTCCTCTTAAAAATACTATGTAGTTTTCATGTTTTTTAGTAAAATTACACTTTATTTAGGTGCCGTAAATATACATATATCGATAATTGAAATTTACATTTACAAAAAGTGTAAAATTACATTCTTAATATAACTTTACTTTTACGATGTAATTTTCCATTACCCACTGTGGCGTCATAATAACCAATGATCTAGTGTGTAATTTTACATAAAATTTTTGATAGTATGACTTTACTGGCACAGTATCTTATTTCTAGCAGGCTGTTTTTTTGTCTTGTTGACAATCCACTGTTCGCCAAAGAAACATTTAGACAGTAATCATACCACTTTCATCTTTAATCCGGAAAATCAATTAAAAAATAAATTGTACATAGATTACAAGCACTTACTATTTAAATGGATATTAAGTTGTGTCTCGCTATTGGCTGTCAAGTCGCATAAATCGCATCTGAAGCATTTTCCTCTACGCTCCATTCGCATTTTGTGTCTTCTTCCATCGAGATGTCTTTGTAAGATTTTGCCGCTTGTTACCTTTATATTGCAGAGCTCGCAGCATAATGGCTGTAATTGTAAATTGTCTTAATAAATAACATCAATAAATAAACTCTTAAAGGAGATGAAATATTTTCTCAAATAATTATCAGCAGGTAACCTTTCCCGCTATCAGAAATGTATAGTGTTGTTTCTTATCATGTTACCTTGTATTAATCGAATTATCATACAGTGCTAATGGATTTTTAACTTTTATTTTTTTTTATGTTATGCTAACATATAACTTAATTGTTTATTGAAATAATAATGCAGGATTCTGTATTAGAAATTAACAAAACAATTTTACATAAATATATGTCAACAACTTGTTTTCAAGATAAAGAAAGAGTACTTTTTTTAATTACAACAAAGGATCAACTACTGAAATTAAAAATTAGTAAATTTTGTTTGCAGATTTATAGCGTTCTCAATTTTTTTTCTACTGGAATGAAAAAAACACGTCAATGTTAGAATAAAATATATGTAAATGCAGAAGAACAGTCTCGTATTCAACTGAGAGAGCGTGCAAATTTAAAATACAAGAATACATAATCTCCTTGTAGGTAATAATAAATCATAAAAACATACTACTTAGATTTAGTTTAACTCAAAAACTAAACACGATTTATAAATATAAATTTTAATTCAAATGAAAATTTATGAAAATACAAATTTTCTGAATGTTAACGTTTCGTCTCTTCACCGTGATATCTTTAGGATTCTTAAATAAAATCTGATCACTTAAACAAAAACAGAAGCATCCGTGAGGATGGAATCACGACTTTTATAAAATTCCTTGTAAAGAATGCAGCAAGGTATACTTAGGTGAGACAGGGATTTTTGAAAACTTGAATCAATGAGCATAAAAAAGATTGCCATAACATTTTACATCCCTTAAAAATAATTAATAACACAGTCTTGCTGAATTTCATATAATTCTGATGATTGAAAATAATTTCATAATAGGAGCATTGATTGTGGAGACTGATATCTAATCGGATGTTAGGTTAATTCAGATCACTATTTAATTCGTCATTCAAAGTCCTACAAATGTTGCTTGAAACATTTTTGTCGATTTATGCAGAGAAAAATGAGTTCGACTCTAAATGACGTGCAAGGACATGCAGGAAAGATATTCCGACCTTATACTGGGGTATAAAATTAATATTCTGTCGACTGCTCTTATAAAAAGTAGGCTGTTCTATTCAATATTTTTGAGTGACCTTGGTTTGACCTTGAATCTTAAAGTCAAGGTCAAATCCAGTGTCAGCAAAACATTGCCTTCTTGACATCCTACAACTTACATCTAAAACTTTATTTGATAGAACTCAATTCTAAAAAGATATCGGGAGTTTCGAGTTTCTTTGATACACCCGGTATATTAAGTTTCGGACATCTTGGATGTTTGCATCATATTGCATTATTTATTGTTTATATACAAAAAAAAAACATTTAGAAAAAATGCCATGTATCTACATAAGAAGTCATTGTCTAATTACTTTGTTACTTGAAAGAAACTTATTTCTTAAAACTTCTATTCTTGATAAAAAGACTAATTAAGTAAGTTATAATTTTTTTATGTGACTCAGATGATGGTTTCATAAGTATGTTTATTTCAACCGACACCCGTCTCCCCTACATTACAGACCTTTGAATAGAACCATGCAAGTGTGGGCATTGCCAAAAGAATTTTACTTTTCAAGGAAAAAAACTGTAAACTTACAACTTTCTTAATGGCTTCGCTGGATTTGTCATCCTCGTCATCTTTGTTGTTATTGCTGTCATTATTTATTACAGATACATCTTGAACACCACTATGGATTTCTCCGGACATCATTGACTTATAACATACATTAACATCACAGAACGGAATAGTGTCTGCAGGAAGCTCACATATCCTAATATCGGACACTACTGATATTGGTCGCTAGGAATTGCAGTAAAAACTAAGGATGTAAAAAACATTCCAAGATTAATAAAAAAATTCAAAATTTCAGTAATTTGCCTTAAGTAGGTTTAATCTAATAAACACTGTTGGCAGAGATATATAAATGTTTATAACAAATTTTTGTCTTTGATGCAGTTCTTCTGTCGTATGCATGTATATAATACAGTATACAGGGTGAGTCGGGAGATCGCACCAAACTCCAGGAACGGAGTCAAAATAATAAGAAAAAATTAAAATGTTATGCGATTTTCATTTCTTTCCGTGCTATCACGTACATTTCAATAAAAAAATAATTTATTGATATTTTATTATACTATCATAACGTTTTTTGATTTAAATGTTCAAAAACACCACCATTGACTTGTAAACACTTTTTGCATCTTCTACGAAGGGCGTCTGTAGCTCTCCTGATTGCTGCATGTCCTTTACTTTTATAAGTGCTGTAGTATTGATGATACGTCGAATTAATGCCTCCCGAGTGTTCACTCTAACTTTGTAGACATCATTTTTGAACCAGCCCCATAAACAGTAATCTAGTGCTGTGGGGTCTGGAGATCTTGGAGGCCAACTAATAGGTCCGCGGCCTGAAAACTTTACATTCAAATGTACCTTAACTGGACGAGCCAAACTTGCAGAAATACGAATTCTCATGTTTATATAGGGTGTAAGAAGTGTGACTACCTACTTCAGCATGAGTAATCATAAATGAACAAAAAAGTTGTTATTACAGGCGCGTAAGATTAACAGTTTTAAGAATACAGCGAGTATTAATATTGGGGAGATTCATCACGACGTGACAACAGCGCTTAACCTACTGATGCACACCACGTGCGCACACTGCAGACTTGTCTTACGGAAAAAATGTAAACAACTATTATTGTGAAAATTTCAAGACAATTGTCTTCCAGTTTTTAAATAAATAAAATAAAATGTATCGATTTTGTAGTACGAAGATAGTGTTGTGCTTAAATTTTAGTTCGAGTTTTAGAAATTATGAATCTCTTAAAACAGGAACTTAACTTTATACAAATTATGTATTTGAAAAATATGTAATTAAAGTACCCAAAGATTCACGTCGTCCAAATAATCATACGTAGGTATTAAAAATAATTTAGGTACTTACCAAAAAGCAAAACTCAGTAATTTTTAAACGCACAAGTACAAAACAAATTACAACGTATGCTCAAAATGTTCACCACTATTTTCGATGCACGCAAGACACCTTCGAATCTAATTTTCGTGCACTCGCTGGAAAACTCCTCAAGAAATGTCAATAGTGGTACGCAAAGAACACTCCGACATGGTCGAATCCAGATACCAACTGAATTGCGTATTGGTAGTTGCTGGACACCTTAGTACCTCGTGTTAATAAACCGCCGCGCCGTTGTCACATTGCTCGATATGATTTTTATCGAATTTTAAATTTGTTACAATACTAATTATTTATTAGAATTAAGCATAAAGAAGTTCAAAACAGTGTAAACATGAACTTTTGTACATCAAGTTGGAGGTTTTGATAATTATTTTTTTGGAAATGGTTGAGTTTAGTATCCATGTCATATATGTTTTTTTTGTATTCTATCGTCTATTAAAATTAAGGCAGCCAAACTTCTAACACCCTGTAGAAACATCATCTAGAAAAAAAAAATGAAAATTGCATAACAGTATTCCAGTATTTCCTTATTATTTTCACATGTAGAATTCATCCCTGGAGTTTAGTGCGATTCTCTTGACTCACCCTGTATAATAAATATCATAATATCAGGCAGAATGAATATGTGGCAAGATATAGTTATATTTAATTATTATCATTTCAAAATTCAGTTCAGTTTCCTATGCCATAATGGGCGAATTTATACTTGACCCAAAATAAATAAAAAGTAGCATTATTGGTTATCATGCAATAAGTGGAATAGTCTTCAATTTTGAAGGTGGAAAAAATTGGAAGTACGAGTAAAATAAGTATGTTATTAAGTTTTTCATCAACGTTTACCTACAAAGCTTAAGGGCGCCGTTTTATAGACAAGAAATCGCACTTTTGGTAAGACAGCGATAGCACCTGATAGATAGTAGAAAATCCATCCAGGAAGTGGCGGTCTCTACTAGCGTAATGCCAAACTAGAACAACTTCATAATACCACATAGCAATCGACGTAAAGATTTCTTTAATCGGTAACTATATATTCTCAGGACATTGGTAAGCCTATTATCGTCCAGAGCCGCATTAGGGAAAATATGTGCAATGAACAAGAATTGTCAGATAATTTTAATATTTGCACAGAAAAATAATATAATGACCTACAGTGTTTTAATAAAATATTGGATGTGGAAACAGAGGAATACTATACTTGATACTATCAAAAATTTAAACATTTATTATAGTGTTTACGAAGATAGTTGAAACCGTATAAAAACTAAAAGTCGGCATCTCTTTATTGTGCCCGGAAAGAGATGCCGACTTTTAGTTTTTATACGGTTTCAACTATCTTCGTAAACACTAGATATACCAAACAACTTTTTTGACAAAAACTTCAAATTCCCCAGATTCTTTATTACTGGGCATGTCGAATGCAAAATGATGCTCATTTTATACCCTTAATGTTCTATATATTTTAATTTCATTTAACAGACATATTTGTGAAATATTTGTGATTATTATCATTATGTTGGAAGTATGGAAACATTGTGGTAAAGACAGTTTTAATGATTTTAAATAACAATGCAACTGTATTCCAGACAATTAAAATGTACAGAAAAATTTCATTATTTTTCTTAAAAATATATAGATAAAATATGTTATGAATTATAATTAATGTAGTATTAAACACCCTGAACCTATTGAGAAACATAAAATAGGAGAAAAATAGAAATAAAAAAACAAAATAGTTTATCAGATCCTCTGGTAAATATTTTCATAATTTATTAATTGTAGTTCATTACTCATTCCATATTTATTTCAAAATTTTACCAATACAAAGAGCACGTGTTCGTGTTTACCGGCCGGCAGACCAGTTTTTTTTTGTTGCAAATTAGTCCAAGCATTCTGTCACGGATTAATGTTAAATTAGCAGAAATTATTACCTGGACAAAAAAATATGACCGTATAGAAAATTAAATTTTAAATCCAGTTTCTTGTTCTTTAAACTCGATCCAAAATGGCGAACATGGTTAAAAAAAATCGCAAAGTTGCAAAAAACGGTTTTTCTAAAATAAGTAAAAAAATATAGCACCGATCGAAAAATTTTAGATGAGAGGATCAAAATATGACTGAAAAAGTTGCACTTTTTTGGGTGTTTTTTTCAAATAACTATTTCAATTTTTATTTTATGAAAATGACTTTTAAAGAAGGAAACTGCTGACATTTTTTCGCCAATTTAAAAAAAAAATGTTTTTCTACGACCTTCTGGAGCCGAGATAATTTTTTTATTTAAAAAAAATTTTGAAGACGCAATTAACATTTTTTACAGCGATGCGCTTGATGGAGGTTAATATTGAATATTTATATTTTCAAAAAAAAAAATAGTAGGATATGTTTACTTACAAAAAAACAGTCGATAGATCTTTTTAAAACCTACAACTTTGTTTTAAAATTTTTCGATCGGTGCTATATTTTTTTAGTTATTTTAGAAAAACCATTTTTTTGCAACTTTGCGATTTTTTTAACCATGTTCGCCATTTTGGATCGAGTTTAAAGAACAAGAAACTCGATTTAAAATTTAATTTTCTATACGGTCATATTTTTTTGTCCAGGTAATAATTTCTGTAAGCATTTCTCTATAATGCTTGGACTAAATACTTATAGCCTAAGAGCTGGCGTGATTTTTTCCCATCATTTGTACCAAAAGATAAGCACATTAATGTTGAAATAGGTTTAAAGTGAACAAATATCGCTACGTTTGGCCGGAGGCGGCTACTCAAACTTGTTTTTTTTTTCAAAAACTCCTTGATTTGTACCACCTGCAGACTATGAAATTCGGCTTTAGGAATACAATTTGACCACAAAAGTGAAATGACAGACAAAAAAGTCGGTTTTTCGTCGGCGTTTCTTAATTACAGCCAATAAAAGGGTTCCGTCTCCGTCGTAAACATCGTAGCAGTCTGTGAGTGCAAGCGAGATGGGTTCAGGCTTGCAAACGCGCAAGGGACGGAGAATGATATATTATTCCTACATTGCACGCATGTTTAGTGGCTCTGTAAATAGATTTGTAAGAAAATAAATATAAGCAAACATATATTTTATTGAAACTTAACATTCAGTAATAAGAAAACTAAACATTATACACTTTGAAATAAAAAATATGAAAATTTTACTTATACTATTACGAGAGCCATACTTCCAGCGTAAGCGTGTGTATTTTTTTCTAAACATTGTTTATTTTAGCAAACCTGCATGTCGGCCTAATAAAGCTTTTTATTTTCGTGGTATTCAAAAAAACGTGGCGGAAGATTAACGAGCATGCGTTGTATTGCTTAACATTTTAATTTACATTTTTGATAAAATATTAAATCAAATGTAGAGCTTCCTTATATACAGAGTGTCTCATAATTAGTGTCCAATAATTTATCACTTGATTATATAGCCAAAAATAAGAATATGTTTTCAAATAAACATGGGTCGAGAGATGCTTCCTAAGGGATCTACGCTCCCTAAATGGGGGCCTCAAAAAATTCATTTTTTTTAATATTTTCGAAACGGGTTCAAGGAAAATTATAAATTTTGACATAATTGACGCTCATTAAAAGATCGTCATAAAATTTTAATCGTCGGCTAAAATTTGCCTCTATTTTTTTACTTGTCGAAATTTTCAAGTTCATGTTTTCATGCCAACATATGATAGATATTCATTTCCTTTACAAAAGAGGTACTCTTTAGTTCTTTGGATAAAATGCTCCATTTCCGAGAAAAACGAATTTAAGCAATTCATTACGTTACCTTAATAAAATTCAAAAAATTTGTCTTGAATGGCTAAAATGGGCACATGTACCATTATGAATTTTCATATGTCATCATATGAATATACATTGTAATAAACAACGTGAAAAGTGCTTAGAAAACTTTGTTATGGGCCGTCCCGAGCAAGGGGAGGGGGAGAATCGAATTTTTGCATGTTGCATTTGTTGCTATAAAATTTGATTGATCTGAGTTTTCTATGAAAAATGGTGATGTTGTTTTGATCAGAATTTGAAAATTTCGGCAAACAAAAGCAATAGGGGCAAACTTTAGCCGACGACCCCCCCCCAATTGAGATGATTAAAATTTTTGAAAAATTTTATGATAATCTATTTCGACTTTTAAGAGCGTTCATGGTATCAACATTCATAATTTTCCTTCAACCCGTTTCGAAAATATTAAAAAAAAAATTTTTTTTGAGGCCCTATTTAGGGGGTGTAGCTCCCTTAGGAAACATCTCTCGACCCATGTTTATTTGAAAAAATATTCTTATTTTTCGCAATATAATCAAGTGGTAAATTATTGGACACTAATTTTGAGACACCCTGTATATAAGAAAACTCTACATTTGATTTAATATTTTATCAAAAATGTTAATTATAATGTTAAGCAAATTAGTATACAACGCACGCTTGTTAATCTGCCGCCAAAAAAGTACGAAATACTGATGCTATACAATCGTTATTAATTAGGCATATAATTAAGCAGTTATAGTAAAACCAAAAATAACTGTAAAAAAAATTTAACTGGTATAATCAAATTTACAAAATATTGTTAATTAGTAAGTCATCATTTCATTTGTTCACAGCGTATTTGCCTCCAGTTCCTCCTTGACCTACATTAATAATAAGTAGGTACCTATTCTGTCATAAAAACATGCCCTTTATTTAAACACATCTAAAAACACTTTATCAGAGGCATGCCGGCGAATTGTACTATACACCTGCACTTTCCGTATTCCACCGTACCACATATTGTTAGTAATATGTGACCGTACCTATTTCATCGTGACGATGCGAGAACGAATCATTTGCTTTAAAATGTGTTGTAAATTGTAAAGTATCTACATAAATCAATCACTTTTTAAACAGAGGCTAATTATAAACAATTCGTTTAAAAACTAATAAAACACGAACAGAAAAATTAAATTGTAAAAAATATTTTTAGGGGAACTCATTTGGCTTGCTTCTCAAGAAAAATGTAATAATAACTTGAAGTCACTCTTCAACAAACAACAGTAATTATTACATACAAAATTCTGTATTCAGAATTATGGTTTCTAAAATTATACTGGATCTAATAACTAGTAAAACATACAATAATCAATTTGTGAAAAATATCTTAAAGAAATCTTAGGGAGACACTGACTCCCCCGCTTCTAAAAAAAACTGCCACTGTGTAGTAAATTTTAATTATCTTATCACGCTCCATTTTAGTTTAGACAGTCTGACTGATACCGAATGGCATTTGCCTAATTCTTTCTTCTCTAGTAATTATATTATCGATTATATTATCTGGACTATTATCAAAATATGTGTATTAAGTACTATAATTTATTTGTGTTTATAGCTCTTTTACTATTAGACTAATTATTAATTGTCAGAATTAAAATTTTTTAACTTACTAGTATTTAACAGTATTTGTAAGAACTCGGAATAACAGTTTTATTATTATGATTATTTTACATGCAAAGCTTAATATTCCCATTCAAACAAGCACTGCCATCACATTCTTTTATATTATCTAAAATCAGCGCAAATACAACTCAAACATATTGAAGTTAGTCCGGCTCTGGTTCAGCAAAAAATACCTTAGAACGACAACTGTGACTATCGCCCTCTTTTCGATAGTGTCTAAACTATAGAAAAGTTGAAATACGAAGGATTTCTTCAATTGCTCGGCATGAAAAGATGACGGATAATATAAAATATCAGAACACGTACCTTTCCTGTTTTGTCCAATTGATTTATAAAACTACTCAATAATTCTTATTAATTCATGTATAAATAGTATCCTAAAAGCATTCTGCTGGGTGTGGGTATGTTTATAATACCGTACGCTTTTATCTGTATGTTCAACAGTCGTGTAAAGTTCAGGAAACGTAAGATAAAAAAATATGGTTTTTTTTCTTACTTAAAATGTGTTGTCAGTTATCTCACACCCTGAAGAACACTTGTATAAGTAGTACAGTGAAGAGATATCGTTTCTAACTTGCTTAGATTTTTTAAACAATTGGACAAAAAATTCATTGAAAATTGTGCATAAAAACGCCCCCCTTAAATGCTTTGCGTTTCATTCAGTGTAATGAGAAGTATCAGATTCATTTTTTGCCGTACCTACAATTACAAGTTTTTTTTGGAAATACTAAACCAAACTACAGTTTTTCATTATTAAATATTGAAATGATTATATTTCCTTGTATTAGAAGTCAATCAGATTTAATACATATCACTTTGATGTCTCGAATAATGTGAGTAATTAATTTGATATATTTAACGCGAACTATTGGTTTTACCAAAATGTATACGCATTTCAAAATTTTTAAAATACAATTAATATGCTTTAGTTTCTAAACAATGATAAATAAATTGAATTCACGTGGATACTCAACTAGTTTATGGTAATTATTAAAGGTTGTTTTCTTATTCAGAATTTCTATAAAAATGATTTAACGCTTATGTATAATTTTCGCTTTACTTTTTACTTCTTTATTCGCTATTGTTTCATTAATTCCTTGTAATCGCAATTTATTCATAAAATTTCAGGAGGGAGATTTTACGAACTAAAATCGTTGTACTATGGATTTTATTCTAAACTGAAATAAAATGCATTTTCATCGTTTTTAATCAGATTGTTCGCAAGGTGACTATGGTATGGCTAGAAGATCAATACAATTCTAACCTACATGTTTCATATTCACATATTTTCCTGCGTTTCCTTTCTTTAAAGTCATCTAATAAGTAAGAAAGATAAATGTAAGTAAACATAAAATTAATTTCTTTAATTTATTATTAATACTTATACACGACGAGTTGAAAATTTGTATAACTAGTTTTAAATTATATCTACTGGTTATTCAAGAAATAATAGTAGAATAATAATAATTTATATTTAGAAAGTGGAGTTAATAACCAAAAAAAGAAATGAATATCGATAAAATTTGCATTGAACAACACTATTGTAGAAATGTGTTTTTCCTCATAGATCAAAAGTAGCCATGATAAAACCTCTATATAAAAATGGAAATAAATTAGATCTTAAAAATTATCGTCCTATTTCTCTAACAGCTACTATTGCAAAAGTATTTGAAAAATTAATTGAAAAGAAGAGTAAATGAATACCTAACAAATACAATATTATAAAAAACAATCAGTTTGGTTTAGGAGAGTTCAAGTCAACACAAAATGCCACAGCTAATTTGACATCAAAACTGTATGATGCTATAGATAAAAGTACACCAATGCCGTGTATCTTTGTTGATCTGGTCAAAGCTATTGATATAGTTTGTCTTGAAGGATTACGTGTTAACTTGGAGCTTATCAGATTTAAGGGACGAGCTTATGAACTATTTAAAAGTTACTTGTCGGATCTTATCCAGTTTGTGTCAAAATAAATAATATAATTAGCGAACAAAGAACGATAGAATTTGGTGTCCCGCAGGGTACAGTGCTCGGACCTATACTGTTTACAATGTATGTTAATAACCTTTTCCACTTAAAACCTCTGGGACATATTATTAGCCATGCGGACGACATTGTTATTTTTCATAATTATTCTTCATGGTAGTCCCTAAAGCAAAAAGATTTTAAATTGATTTTGAACTTTTTCCAAAGTAAGTTCCTTACCAATAACATTTTAAAAACAGATTTTATGACATCTACAAGTTATAATGGAGTTTTCATATTAATTATGCTCCGAAAAAATTAAGACATCTCTTGCAAATATTTAATATTTATCTGCTGCGTTTGGCGTGTACCAGATATTCTTCTGCTGCAGCAAATTCTAGACTTTCATTGGTGTTTGGTGCATGACGTCAATTGGGTTGCGCATTTTCGATTCCGGGCAATTCTGTCAGCACAGGAAAATTGCGATTGTAATTAATTTATTAGTGATTTTGGGTTTGTATTCTTATAAATGGAGAGTAATTCAAGTTGGATTGTATTTTAAGAATGAGCTTCCGATAATAAAAAATCAGGCTGCTATCTCACAGGATTAAAATTTGCCAATAATATCTAGGATGGTGCTTTTGCGAAATATGCGTGACATGAATTTCTGTTTTATAAAACGAAATCGAAAGAGTACGCTGATAGAAAAAGAGTGATATGGCGAAGAAACTATTTAAGACAAGTATAAGAAGCTCGAAAACTAAATCGTAGATATAATATATTACACGGACGAAACATGGATAAAGTATGGCAATATCCAAAGCAAACGGCAGGCATTTCTGGAAGGATTTTCGACTGGATTAGTCACCTTCTGGAAAGGGTGGTGTCTATAACGCATACTGGAAGTACAACAGGATTTTTGGTACAGGGTGTGTATATATAGTTCAGTATATTATTATAAGTGATAAAGTGTGATATCCACGACCTGCGCATCAGATAGGTGTAAGTAAGTGGGTGATGGTGGGCCATCACCGTGCGAAAGAACGGTACTCAACAATTGTGGAGAGGGTGACAGGTGAGGGTATAAGCTTTCTAAAGTAAATATTCACCGTGAACTTATTTTTTTATCATATTATGTTCTTTAACCTTTTTCAAGTAGTACGCATATTATGAATCACTGCCTATTATTATGGAACCCGGGTATAATATATAGTCCTGAGGGGGCGCTACAAATATACAAGGCTATTACAAATCGTACAAAAATTCATAATTAAAATTATTTATAGCTACTTTTGTTAATTCCAACAAAGGAGTTAGGTATACAGGGTGTCCTGGTACTTGATACAAAAAAAATCGAGTACAAATAAATGAGGTCAAAATAATACCAGTTCACCTTTGGGAGCCCGTAACATGTTAACGAAGGCTTGTATGAAAAAAAAAACATATGAAGAACTGATATTATTTTGACCTTATCTATTTGTACTCGACTTTTTTGTATCAAATACCGGGACATTCGGTATAATAGGGTCAAAATTATTTGACGTTCAACAATTATTTTGTCAAGCTATTCTAATAAATATGTATAAAAAGGCATAGTTGGTATAAAAATTAATCATAATCAATAATTCAGTAAATTTTCAAAAACGTTCTTTGAATACACAAAGTATTGCTCATGATTAGGCGATCCTGAAAATTTCAACTCAATCCGTTGAGCGGTTTTCAAACTATATGATTTTTAAAATGCGAATATTTGTCTCAGCCGTGGCAATGGAATGACGTCACCGCATGGGACGGTCAGCTAACTTGGCGCTATTTCCAGATGAGTTTCTGCATCTACAGAATGTTTTAGCGTTTGTGCATATTAAATTAAAAAAAAGGAAGCAAATTTCGTAAAAGCAGATTCTTCTAATTTGCCAGAAGTAGGTTTGTTAATGGTTATGGATTTTTTTAATAAAAACCACGACTTCATCAGTGCTGAAATGAGAGGAGTGAAAATGCAAAAGTTATTTTTCATTGTAAAGCTTTAAAGTACGCTTGTAGTGCAAGTTTTGTACAATAAGAAGTAGTAAGGGATTTTGCGTTTAATTGGACGAAAACGTTTCTGTCACAGTTTCAAAGATTTACCTAATCAAATACAAAATTCTTATTACTATTTTTATTCCCACGGAGACTACATAAAATCTACCTAATATCTTATAAATATATTCGTATTAATAATATATTTTTATGTAAATACTTAGTAGAGTTGTTTCAAAATCTTATGAGCTTTGACCTTCATATGCGCAGAAACATAATTGACAGTCTATCTCGAGCTCTCGTAGCGTAAACAAGCCTTTGTTCCGATTACAAATATCATAATAAAATGCCCTATTCTTTATTATTTTAGTTTAAGCAATAAAAATATACAGGGTGATTCATTAACAATGGGAAAATCAACAGCTGAAGATACTACACTTGAAATAGTGACCATTGGCCCAAACATGCCTTATCCGAATGTTGATAGTTTCGGAAATACAGGATGTTGAAAGTTAAAATTTTAAATCGTTTTTTTGAGATTATTCTGAAAATATGTAGGTTAGGAACTTAAAAATTTGTGAAACTAAATTTTTTTAAGCGGCGAATAAGATGCGTGTTGTAATTTCGGCGTTGCTCATAGAGGGCGTCAGTTACGACCAATTTTACCGAAAATTTAGTTAATAACTTTTTACCCTGTATGTCCAACATAAAACTTGAGTCAAAACCTGAAAGATTTTTCCATTAATTATGTATTCTTGTTTAATTTCGGTATCTCGATCCGTTTTCGAGAAAAATCGATTTAACGAACACTATGTTTTGATAATACGAGAAATTAAAAGCGAAACAAACCAAGTATTTCTTCATGTTATTACAACAATTAACAATAAAACAAATAAAATACGTGATTATGATTTAAAGTAATTGTTCGAAGAATTCACCGTTGACACTGATACACTTTACACGTTTTCTGGGAGATCTTCTAGTTTGAAACAACATATTGGGATTGCGCCTGACTTCGTTGGCAGCTATTTGTATTCTTTTCCACAACTCTTCACGCGAGCCAATAGATTCTCTGTAAACTATATCTTTCATTCGAGACCAAATAGAAATATCAAGAGGATTGAAGTCCGGACTTCTGGGTGGCCAAGCAAAAATGTTTAAAATTTTAACTTTCAACATCCTGTATTTCCGAAACTATCAACTTTCGGATAAGGCATGTTTGCGCCAATGGTCACCATTTCACGTGTAGTATCTTCAGCTTTCTATTTTCCAATTGTTAATTAATCACCCTGTATATAACGAACGTTCGCCAGTTGACCCGAGCGACGTAGTTCATTTCTGGTTGTAATGAGGCACGTGGTCTAATTCTGAGTCAATGTTTTCACAACGTGCTTATTAGAAGAATTATGTGGATACGCCACGCCTTTCGCTGCTCATGAGATTTCGAAACTACTCTACATAGAATTTGTATATTATTCATAAAAAATCAACAATGGAAAACACAAGTGTATAGTGTTTCTAGAGGATACAAACGTATTTATTACATACCTAAATTACGCAGGGTAGTTTTGCTTTGACTATTGATTTTAGATCCGCACCCCAGAATTACGGGGACATTATTATTTTCTTAGGCGTCTTCACCCTAGTACTCTCACACTGGGGGACAACACTATATTTGTAATTTTTTTCTGTTCTGTGTTTTCCGTATTGCTAACAAAATTCGGTATCTTAACGTACTCAATCGAAACTTAACAGGCAAGTATGCGGTATTGGTTTCCCATGCGGTGACGTCACACCCGCCGGTTCAGCGGGTACTCAGCGCGCCAGTTTAAGATTTTTTTTAATGACTTGTAGACGATATAAAATTCAAATTTTTTGCAGATAACCTTAAAGTTCAAATTCAATGAAACCTCTGTCTTATTGCATAACAGTTCTTAAATGCAATTTCCTTCTAAGCCTTTTACCGCTTATCTGTCGGTTAGATGTAGTTTGTATACTTTTGATTTTGTTTACCCAATAGGAAGAAGTTTAATATTTTTACAAAAGAACAGATTAATGAACGTTTTATTTATTTATTTAATTTATTTATAATACCATAGATTGCATAAATTTCAGTGGAGTAATCAGATTTTAAATAAAAAAATGTGATGTGATGTAATACAGTTTTTCACACTATCTTAAACAATTGAAATTAAATCGGACAATAAATGCTTTTTGTACAAAGTTATTTCTATTCATTTTTAATAGATATGTAATAGGTTAATTAACATTAACATGTTAAATAAGTATTAATAGTATTACTACAAATGTTCTGGCTTTTTACATTTTTCCCCCGTTTATTAATATACCTATGAGTATTTGCATTTCATTAAAGGTCTTAAATAGTGACCTACAGAGCTTCAGAGACATGTAAGTACCAATTTATGAAAACTAATATTACATTATTTGTTGTATATTTTTTTTGCAAAAAAGATGTAAGGTTCGTGTAACCATTTGTTTAAAGTCAACAATAGAATTTAAAATATATTAAAAAATCGTTGTTAACATATTAACGTATCATCTTCAATCTGTTATATCCTCGTAAGAGGTCGGAATTGATCTCCAATTCATTGAACTTCTTGTGTTAATTTTGGTTAAGGAATACATTGCAGAAGTTTGGAAGTTAAATTAAGCGAAGCTCTGTAGAGTAGGATATAGATTTAAATACATTTTGAAGGCCCACGAATGGATGTATGGTCAGAGGTTGCTCCAACCATTCAAGAAAACTCTTCAGCGGATATTTTGCTACCATTTCGATTTATACTCACAGAAAATTTTAATGTCTATGGAAGTATAGATGTATCGGAAACATATTTGAGTTGACGTCATAAGGCAATATCAAATTGCCAAAATTAAAATTTTTTTTGGTTTATTTAAAAAAAAAATTATATTCATTTTCATTTATCCTTGTTGGTACATACATTGTGGTTACATGCGGTCATTTAAAATATTGTTTGCACAACATTATTATGAATGTGTAAATTTTTAACATCTTCAAATATAAACATATGCAATTATCCATTACTTCTCTTTTATTGACCTGCGAATATAAAATCTTATATAACACACCAAGTTGCGGTCAGTCAAAGATCAGTTGCAAACAATACAGATTATTCATTTTATTGAGAGAATATTTAAAATACTATTTAGTGCAGTTATTAGCGCGTTATTATGGATAGATAACAGTATCAGGCAAGTTATAATTTCCTTAAAAATAGCTGAAGTTCTAAACAAATAGTTTTTAACAATTACAGTAGTGTTGAGTGAGGAAATACTATTTCCTCACTCAACGATAGTAATAATATAAAAATACCTGATACCGCCGAACACCAAACAATGCAATGTCCTTAAAAATATTTACATTTCATTTTTTACTTAGAAGCAGTGGTAGTTTAAGTAAATACATAAATGTTTTGAATGCATAGCTTCTCGAACATGATTCACATGAGTTTTAAATTATCAAGTGAAACTAGGTACAAATCTTTAACTCTTCGCTTAATTTTATCTCTGATAAGATGTGTCGATACCTCTTATCTAGTATTAATTTGTAGTGGAAAATGATTTTACCTCTTAGAGGTTATACAACATGGACCAAGGTGTTAGGCAAGTCAGACCGCAAAATCCAAGACGGAAGGCATCGATATGGTCCATTATAACGTTTTTGTAAGTAATACCTTTCGTTTATTTTTAAATAAGCCAATTGCATTAGGTACATTGCTTTTATTTGAGGTTAGGTTGGTTATGTTCAAAGAAATTTATACGATGTATGCGTATTTATGGGCAATTAGATAAAATATTATTCTTTCCTAAGTATTACTTTTCTATGTAATTAAAATAATGTTTTGTGCACTTAACTGTGTAATCATCTTTTAATTGGGAATTCATATTTATTGAAAACAGGAAAGATACTTTACAAAACTATATAGCACACTAAAAAGCAATTACATCAAAGTACAAAAATAAGTAACGTAAAAAATAATACTTAGTTGATGGAAATAACATGTTTCTTATTTCAATTTTCGTATCGTTCAATTGATTTAGTGGTGATTGTAACAAATTTACTATTGAGATTGTCGCGCTTTCAAAATTTTATCAAATTGTTCAGTGAGGTTAAAAATTGTTTATTGGCCTGTTTTATTTAAGAATTACAAGAGTTATTTTTAATTTTACTGAGGACAGTAGCAATTCTTTAGAAAATAAGATGGCTGTTTTTAACCAAATTATGCGGTATGATATCGATTATCGAATGTGTAGAACTTAACGCGTGTTACTGAAAATATTCACTTGTCTCATTTTGAAGGCGCAATGAAGTTTTATTTTGTGCCGTTATGAATAAAACAAGAACTTTTGTTGCATTTACATTACATTTTTGGATCTGTAATATGCTACTGTCTAAAATTTATGTTGAAATTTGAAAATCGATTTTAAATTGATCATTTTCTTCTATATAGTATGAAAATATGTAGCAAATTTTAGTAGTCCATACTAAATATTTATAAATAAAAATAATCATTGTGAACGATGAAAACGCTATCGAAAAATAATACATTGAAAATATTGTTTTTACCCAGTTTAACCATTACTTTTAACAACTAACGATAACCTAAATATTTTACTCATGGCAGTAGACCAAATACTTTTGTCTTAGATAACCATTTTATCGTGTTATCATTTAACAATCGATTATACTGCTATCAGGTTTTTGATACTATATTCACAAAGAGCAAAATTTATAAGAAATAATCAATTTAAGTACATACATAAAAATATTTCAAGAGATGGTCCTTTGAATCATTTTCAGAAGAAAAGTTGATTTTATAGGCCAGGAAAAAGATCTGGGAAATTACCATTCCGCGACTTTTTGTTTGCCGAAACAAAAAGTCGCGTCCAACTCTATATTTCCTGGCCTATTAAATGATTTAGTTTTCGAGATTTACCCAAAAATTTGTAAAGATGTTTGACGTAGATTAACATTTTTCTGAATTTGTGTAGAATGTCAATCAGTGGCGGGATACAGGGAAACATTGCACCTTATAACCGCTAAATTTTAAGAGTATTTTTTAAAATTTTTATTTGATTTCAAACGAAAATAACCAAAAATTTTCATTTTGTAAAAATACAATGTGTCCCTTTAAGTTCTCTACAAATGCGTAACTTTTTTATTATCAATTTTATTATTAATTTATTCAAATTCAGTATAAAAAACACATTAGGCATACATTACTGTTTAGAATCAAAATAATTTTGTAGAAAATATAACAAGCAACATTTATTTTATTAAAAATATTGCTTATGGTCAGAGCAATGTGTCACAGTTGTTAAATAAAAAAATTAAAGTTGTGTTTACATTGATAAGCTTCAATAAAATTAGATGCGTTTTCCTTAAGGGCGTCGTATTCTTTAAATAGTGCTTTCTATAAAGACAAATAATTTCAAACATTTAATAATTGAATAATCTAAAGCTTATCAAATAATAGGAATGTTATGTCATACTATCTGAGTATTTTCAAAGACGCCGCAGTAAAATGAATAAATAGGTGCAAAAAACGATCAAACCATCAAGGATTTAGGTACTGAAATCCACGAAAATACTAACTTTTTTATATACAGGGTGTCCCGGAAATGCTGAGCAATCTCTCGGATATGGACAGATAATGAGAAAATAATGTCACAAGTTCATATAAAATTTTTTCCTCCGGGCTCACCCTGTAGAGTTGTTAGCTCTTGAATTTGAGAATTAAAAATGTTTTTTTGCTGTAACTTTTGTATTTTTCAATAAATTTTGAAAATTTTTTGGCTGGATCTATAATTTTTGAAGCTGCTTTGGATGATAATATGAAATCCTCGATAATAATTATGGGGGCCCGGGGGCAAAGCACCCCCCACCAAAATTTCTAGAAAAAAAATTTTTGTTCCACTATACCCCAAATTTTCCATCATTTTATAAAAATTTATGGTATTTTACGTAAAAAAGGTATACTTGTTGAATATCCATAAAATAGATATTTTTTGAGATAAACCCGTTTAAAGAGGAAGGTACCATTTAATTTGAGACATTTTATTTAATTGAAACACAGATTTAATCGTGGTTGGCTTTGACATGTCAGAGTATGCCAAAGGCAATTAAATTGTCAAACTTGTCAAATACGTAGTTTTAAATCTAAGACTCATCTCATAACTCATAATTTGTTATAAAATATGGAGTATTCCAATGAAGAATATGCTGATATGCATTTAATGTACGGGCGGGCTCTTTGTAATGCTTCGGCAGCAAGAAGATTTTATCAGCATTCTTATCCTAATAGAAGGATTCCGGATCGCAAAACTTTCGAACGTATTGATCAAAGATTAAGAGAAACTGGTAAAATACGATTACTATTATTAAACAAAATGGATATTAAATAAATTTTAATGTCTTTAGGTCAGTTTGCTCCTGTTACTGCAAACAGGGGTGCCCCGCGAACAGCACGTACATTTGAAGTAGAGGAAAATATACTGGACGAAATTGCTGCTCATTCAACAGTTAGCATTAGGTCATTATCTTCTTTTACCAATGTTCCAAAGACCACTGTTGCAAGAATCCTTAGAGAACAACTTCTTCACCCTTACCATATCCAAAAAGTGCATGCTCTTAATCCTGATGATTTTCGTGAAAGAGTACAGTTTTCTCAATGGTTTCTTCAGAGACATGAGCAAAATCTGCAGCACTTTAGTGCTGCAGTAAGGGCCATTTAAACGAGGTATATCCTAATCGCTGGATAGGTCGCGGTGTACCTATTCATTGGCCTGCCCAAACTCCAGATATGAACCCACTTGTCTTTTTCTTTTGGGGCACTTGAAAAATCTTTATTCCACACCTGTAACCACTAGAGAAGAATTAGAAGAAAGGATTTTTTATTGTGTAAATGAAATACGACAAAATCCTGAAAAGTTATGGAGAGTGCAACAGTCTTCTGTTAAACGAGCTCGTATTTGTATAAGAGAAGGTGGAACTAATATTGAGAATTTATTATGAATTATATTAGTTACAAAATTTTGATTGTCATGCACTTTTCGTTTAGTTAGTTTAGTTAAGTCCAAATTCTCATAATTTGGAACACTGCTATTGCAAATTATTTGTCCTTTATTCTGATATGTAAAAGCCAACTACGATTAAACCTGTGTTTCTGTTAAATAAAATGTCTCAAATTAAACGGTACCTTCCTCTTTAAACGGGTTTATCTCAAAAAATATCTATTTTATGGATATTCAACAAGTATACCTTTTTTACGTAAAATACCATAAATTTTTATAAAATGATGGAAAATTTGGGGTATAGTGGAACAAAAATTTTTTTTCTAGAAATTTTGGTGGGGGGTGCTTTGCCCCCGGGCCCCCATAATTATTATCGAGGATTTCATATTATCATCCAAAGCAGCTTCAAAAATTATAGATCCAGCCAAAAAATTTTCAAAATTTATTGAAAAATGCAAAAGTTGCAGCAAAGAAACCATTTTTAATTCTCAACTTCAAGAGCTAATAACTCTACAGGGTGAGCCCGGAGGAAAAAAATTTATATGAACTTGTGACATTATTTTCTCATTATCTATCCATATCCGAGAGATTGCCGACCATTTCCGGGACACCCTGTATAACTGCACATGTAAAATAATATTCTTATAACATTTAGTTGCTTAGTCCTACATATACTTTTATTTATAGGTACGTGAAAATTATTCTTAGAATGTTTTACAAATGCTTTTTTTAGTAATTATTTTATTTGAGTAAATTTAAATGGTAACAATGAATAAACAGAACATCAAGGATTTTATTTTTGTGCTTACTTTTGTTCTACACGTTTTACTTTTCAGGATTTCAGTACCTAAAAACGCCAGAAATTTGACTATTTCTCGGTCAGGGATATGTCCACCTTAACACTGCATACTAAATATTTGAACTAATATGCCGAAATCATTTTCATACATCTGGATTGTCACCTGCTGTTCTGTTATTGATAATATGGTATTGGGATATGTGCAAATAAAAGTATGTGAGTGATTTTAACATCAGTCGTGTACCGGTCTTAAAACTTTTCAAGTATCCATTCCAGTTCTTCATGTTTTAGCTTTGGGTTTATACAATATATGTAAAAAAATACAAATATTTCTGATACTGTGAATTATTTCATTATTCCATTGTTTCAGTCCATTCCATTGTTTATATAAATATGGTCAGATTTTTATACAGATTTATGCAAATCGATTTCATGAGATGTACGGAGAAATGACTAATACTAACGATGACATCAAAAATGATTACTGGCAAAAGTATTTAACGAAATTGATAAAGTTTCGATTTTATTTAAAATATATTTAAGATTCTGAATTAGATTATATCAGCATCAGCCAATGCTATAACTGATCGTGAAGGGATTAAAATCAGGCAAATAAAATGAATCGGATGTTAAAATAACTACGGTTAATGCTGAGGATTTTAAATAGCAAGTCGTTGTTTTGTTAAGTATTATTTTTATCATATCTAATTAATGGTTTAACGAGAACACTTATTATTTCATTAAAATATTAAAAGTAGATTAATTTATAACAGTCGTTTAGAGAAAATTTCAAGCTTCAGTCAATATTTTAAATCTCCAGAAATTATTTAGTTTATTTTGTATTAACTTTACAAGGTATTTAATTAGTAAACGTGATACTTAAACGTACATTTTTAACTTTGCGTAAAAACTAGGATTATTGTAGCTGAAAATTCTCTTTTCGAGACGAACACAAATAAATTTACTAAAATTGTATAAACCTTGTTGTCAGAGCCTTCAGTTATTTTTACATTTTTCGTGTGAAATTATTTCCAAAGTGTCTTTCCAAGATATTTGCAGTTAGGAGCGGTTCCTTCTATCATCTAATCAAATCGAATTTTTCTCTTAAACTAAAAAAAAGTTGCAACAAAAGTTGAAGACATTAATTTTGTGAAAATTATTTCAAAATTTTGTGATTCACTCGCCATGTATTTGGTAAAAGAATAAAATTACAATTTGGATCAAAATGTTCTTCCAACTGAGGCATTTGTATTATAAAAATTGTGATAATGAAATTAGTTGGTATTTGATTATACAGTGAAAGAAACATAATTTCAAAAAAGTCATTTTGAAATGTCGCTGGGAAATGTTGTAATTATCGATCGTTACAGAATAGTCTCTGACATTTTTAAAGGTGACAATTGGCATGTTGATTGTTACTTACCTGTACGGCTAACCTAAATTGTGCGAAACAAATGGAAAAAAAGAGAAATGTTTATTCTTAAATAAAATGAAAACGATTGGGTTTAGGTATAGGGAAACTTTAACAAAGTTACACTCAATTTTAGTGCAGAATGCGATTACGTTAAAAAAATGAAATTTCGAGTTTTCCACGTTGTATAAAAATTGGAAAATTTTCATGTCAAATCCGATAAATTAGGTCTTCCTCTACAAAATGTTCGCACAAAAAATTAAACCCGTGTTTTCGGGAAAACTAAATTTTGCTGACAGTCTGCATTTATCGATTTTGCCTAAAAATCTCAGAAACGGTCAAATCTAACAATAAGTATGAAGTGTGCTATATGTTTTTAATTTAAAAATGAATGCTCTTTCCAAAAATGCAATAATATACAGGCGGTTCCATTTAAAATAAGAAATTGACGATGACCTTGAAAATATTTTAACTTGGTAGGCCCCACGGCCCATATCACATCACCGCTATTTCAAAAAAATCTTTAAAGCGGTTTCCCAAATATTCATCAATGGAGTTCGTGGTGAAACACCCTGTATAATATTTAAGTATCTCTTCGTTTGGCCGCTAGATGGCCTCAAAGTTCGTGAAAATTGTTTGAATTTTGTAAATAACTCGAATACGTATTAATCGATTTCGATTATTTTTGGGGTGTGGACTTTTGCTTTCAATCTACACATGTTGGTGTTATACAGAGTGTCTTTTTTAACTTACAACTTTATAGTGCTAGGAGACACTGATTTTGTAGATTGACTGTAATTTCAGTTTGAGCTTTAAGTCATTGTACCTGCCAATTCTTAATGAGTATACTACGATAAGATATACCACAAGTTACTTCGATATGGATACACACACACATACGACGAATTATTTTCAACGTGCCTAATAATTTTATTGAGATAATTAGTAAAAACAATCAAATACAATAAAAAATGCTGGAGATAAAAGGAACAAAGTTGATGTTATTAGATTTAGTGCAACTTATTTTAAAAACTGTTCAAAGTGACTACCGTTGTTTCTACAGCAATGGTTAATTAAGCGAAGAAAGTTAAAGGACACTAATTGCAGTTTTTGTGGACAATTTTTCAAAGTACCCTAAAGATAATAGTCGCAAGGTGTTAAGTTTGGTGAACGAACAGGCCAGATAACAGGAACATTATCCCCTCTACCGATCTATCGACGAGGGAATCTTTGGTTCAGATACTGCGGGTATTGACAGTGAAACGTGGTGTAGTTCCATCATGCATAAACCACATATTAGCTCTGAGCAATAACGGTACACCTTCCAATAACTCGGATAAAGTGTTTTGCAAAAATTCTAAACAAAATTCGTCATTCAGTCTATTGAGTAGAATAACAGGGTCAATAATAATGCTATCAATGCGTTGTATTTGATTTTTTTTTCTAATTTTTTGACTAAAATTAGGCTTATTGTAAATAATTCTAATTCGTAGTATGTGTGTGTATCCATACCGAAAAATGAAGTAAGAGGTGGTATATCTCATCGTCGTAAACACTCACTAAGAATTGTTAGGTACAATGAGTTAAAGATCAGACTGAAATTACAGTCAACCTACAAAATCAGTGCCTTGTAATACTTTGTTAACCATTATAATATGGGTGGCACGATAATGTAGATATTTAAAAAATATTTTTTGTACCCAAACCGTTCATTTAATCAAAATTCTAGAGGCCCAAAAACTTCCAAATCGTATAACCTATCAGATAAAAGATAGTTGTCATTATTGCCCGAAAGAGGGAAAACTTATGAACGGATATTATCACCATACATTAATTTTGTAGGAGTTGCAGGTTTAAAAAAACACTCTGTATAACACCAATATGTGTAGATTGAAAGCAAAACCACACCCCAAAAATAATCAAAATTAATACGTATTCGAGTTATTTACAAAATTCAAAATATTTTCACGAACTTTGAAGCCATCTAGCGACCAAACGAGCGATTTCGGATGTAGGTGAATTAGCCTACTGCCTATTTTGAATCCACGAAAATGTGGTCCTCCGTTGTACACGTTATTCTGGGACACCCTGTATATTACTCAAATATATATTGATGCTATGCTACTCTTTGTTTGTTTTTTTTTTTAGTTATACATATCCCATATTTAAGAAAGGCAGAAGAAAACCCTTAGACGATGAAGATGTATACGAAGTCATACCCAAATTCTCCTCAAAGAAGCTGGGAGACAATTTGGAAGATTACTGGGAGTTGGAACGAAAAAAGAAAGGGAATGAGGCGTCTGTGATAAGAGTTTTAATTTCTTGTTTTGCGAAAAAATATTTGTTTATAGGATTTATTCAGTTATGCGTGAAGACTAGTTTAATGTAAGTAGAATACTTATACAGGGTAGCCCATCGAAAACGTACCGCAAGGCATTACAGGGTAGTAAAGAACTTTCCGAAAAAATCCAAAAACAGGTCAAATTTGTTTCTGAGGGGGACAACTTTTGGCTCAAAAAGCATACTAAAATCTTCAACCCCCTAAGTGGGGGTGCTATCTCCTAAATTTTTTCAAATGGGAATGGGGGTCAAGTGCGGAGTCATTAGAAAGAGCTTTTAATTCTCTATACATCGATTCTTACTTTTTTAAAATCGATTCATTATTTTAGAAAATATGCAGCTTTGAAAATACGAACAATATTTTTGACGAGAAATGCGAAAATCGATTTAATTTTACTTCAAAACTTACGGTATTAGTCAAGTAAATGCTGAAAATGTTGTCCGCCAACTTGCATACAATGATACAGGTTGTCTTCAAACCGTTGTCGAACATTCTGGAGCACTTGCGGTGTTACTTCGCGACATACATTAATGATTCGTCCTCGCAGATCTTCCAAGGTATCAGGTGGAGTGCTGTAAACTTTGCTTTTAATGTGCCCCCAGAGAAAGAAATCTAAAGGATTTAAGTCGGGTGACCGAGGGGGCCACTCAATTGCACCTCTTCGTCCTATCCAGCGTCCTGGAAACGTCTCATTTAGGTAATTGCGCACATTGAGCGAGTAATGTGGAGGAGCTCCGTCTTGCTGGAAAATCAGTTCGTGTTCATTGTAAGCAGGGTCGTCCTCTATGATATTTGTTAGAGCTGGGTCGATGACATTTTGTAGTAAATCCAAGTACATATCGCCTGTCAAATTTCCAGGAAGGAAAAAAGGACCTACAATGGAATTTCCAAAAATACCTGCCCATACATTCAACTTCTGGGGGTGTTGGGAGTGTGTCTCATGGAAAATCCTTGGATTGGTATCAGCCCAGTAACGACAATTATGGCGATTCACTAAACCATTCAAGAAGAACGTACACTCGTCCGAAAAACACACATTAAAGAGGAAATTATCGTTTATCGCTCGTTCAGTCATTATTTCGCAAAATTGCAAACGACGATCAAAATCGTCTTCATTTAGCTCTTGCACTAGCCGAATCTTATAAGGATGGAATTTGTATTTTTTTAATATTCGTTGGACACTTGTACGACTCACTCCTGTCGCAGTAGCCAATTGCATTGTACTCAGCGTACTATCCATTGCCACTTGCCCCAATACCGCTATTTCCGTAGGTTCATTTAGTACCGGATTTTCAACCTGCCTCTTTTTGTTATGAACGGAGCCAGTTTCGCGAAATTTGGCCACCAATTCGCGAACAATTTTTCCAGACGCATGTTTCTCAGGATGCCGTTGGTTGAACAGTTCGGCGACCCGATTTCCGCATTCATTGTTTTTGAAAAAAAGCTCAATAATTTCTACTCTTTCTGGAATTGAGTACACCATAATTAATCAATTTAAAAGACTCGGCAGTATTGGTACTCTTCAACTACAAGTCACAAGACAGTTATCTAGCAACTTCTTGTGGCCTATCTAAATACGAAACAAAAAGCGGACAATTTTTTGCTCACCAAAATCAGGCTAAAGAATTCGCAAATCAGAAAAAAAAAAGCGAATTCTTTTGAAGGAATTTACCAAGCTAATACCGTAAGTTTTGAAGTAAAATTAAATCGATTTTCGCATTTCTCGTCAAAAATATTGTTCGTATTTTCAAAGCTGCATATTTTCTAAAATAATGGATCGATTTTCAAAAAGTAAGAATCGATGTATAGAGAATTAAAAGCCCTTTCTAATGACCCCCCACTTGACCCCCATTCCCATTTAAAAAAATTTGGGGGATGGCACCCCCACTTAGGGGGTTGAAGATTTTGCTATGCTTTTTGCGCCAAAAGTTGTCCCCCTCAGAAGCAAACTTTACCTGTTTTTGGATTTTGCCGAAAAGTTCATTACTACCCTGTAATGCCTTGCGGTACGTTTTCGATGGGCTACCCTGTATATAAATCAATATAACTGGTTAATATTAAGCCCAACTAATCAGTTTATAGTGTTTGTATGGTTTTTTTAAGAGCTGGTTGATTTAAGAGTTGTTTTTCTCTTAAATCTGTTGTACATTTGTGAATTTGTGATTCAATAATTTGTCCAACAAATTAACCAAGTTGCAACATCTAATACAAGAATTGTGGTAAATTTCATAGCTTCAAACAGTTGGTCAGTAAATTGCAGACTATGGGACTGGTTCTAATTTATTGGCTAACTTTAGTGATTTTTGGTGGTTTAATATTAATTTATAGCACAAATTTCATTCTCATTCTAGAATTTCTACGGGTGCTTTTTGTTTTAAATATTGTTCAATGCGAAACCAAAAGCATCTAATGATCAAAATACAATTAAATTACTTACTGTAACCTTTTTCAACAAATGTTTAGATTAATTCAACCATTGGCTTTTTCAAAACTCGTGGCTTACTTCACGCCAGGCCAGACAGATATATCAAGGAATGAACTCTACAAATATGCAGCTGTAGTGATAGGCTTGAACATATTGAGTACTGTATATAATCACAACTACATACAGTACATAATCGAATACGGGCTTCTTGTAAGGACCTCTTTTTCATCGCTGATTTATAGAAAGGCACTAAAATTGAAACCATCAGCGTTTTCTGATATAACCATGGGAAATATCGTGACACTGATCACCAAAGATGTGGGTGCTTTCGAGGGAGCTCTTACATTTCTCAACGACGTCTGGATCGGTGTTATTCAGACGATACTCATTACTTATCTAATTTACATTCGAATCGGATGGTCTGTCTTGGCCGGAGTTGGATTCTTCGTTCTAATAATTCCTCTGCAAGGTATGTGATGGAAAGGTTTAGTGAGTATAAATTTCAAGTGTGTTTTTGCAGTGTATATTGGTCAGAAAAATAGTAATAACAGACTAAAATCCGCAAAGAAAACGGATGATAGGCTACAAGTGACTAAGGAGGCATTTTCTGCTATAAAAATTATTAAAATGTATACGTGGGAGAACTATTTTGAGAAAACTATCAACGAGTACAGGAAGTAAGTTTTTTCACATTATTTCTTAAGGGCGCCATATTCTTCAAATAGTGTTTTCCGCAAAGACAAATAATTTCAAACATTTAATAACTGAATAATCTAAAGCTTATCAAATAATAGGAATGTTATGTCATGCCGTCTGGGTATTTTCAAAGACGCCGCAGTAAAACGAATAAACAGGTGCAAAAAACGATCAAACCATCAAGGTTTTAGGTACTGAAATCTACAAAAATACTAACTTTTTTATATATAATTCCACATGTAAATATTCTTATAACACTTGCTTATTACTTGCTTAATCCTACATATAAAATTGTTTACTTTTATTTATAAGTAGGCAGGGCCGTCTTAAGCGCCCGGGCGGGCGGGCAGCCGCCCAGGGCGGCCATTTTTTGGAGGGCGGCCAAATACATCTCGTGGTAGAGTTGTTTTAAAATCTTATGGGCTTTGACCTTCATATGCGCAGAAACATAATTCCGACCGTCGCCTAAATTATTCTACGTCCTAAAAACATTACACCTATTATTCTCGTAGCGTAAACAATCCGATTACAAATTTTATTCCCAGTTTTAAACTGATAGTTAAAACATATAAGTGAATCATTTTAAGAAATGTATGTATACATTTAGTGGTAAATTATTATTATTCTAAATTCAGACCTGCATAAACAAATGTTTAATTGGATTTTAATTTTTTAATAGGTCTAAAAACAATAAGAAAGTTGTGCACAGTCAAGGACGTCAGATAGTTTACAACGTTTATGAATTTATGAAAAAAGAAAAAGAAAATAAAAATCCTTTTAAGTTAGAACAGCTTCAGGTCCGGGTAGCCAAGGCTACAGGTGTTTCATTAAGTACGATCAAAAGAATAATACGTGAACATGAAGCTAGTCCGTCTGCTAGTCTGTCGTCGCCTAGGAAGAAAATAAACAAACCAAGTCCTAGAACAACCCTAGATAAGTTTGATGAAGAAATAATTCGAACCGAAGTTTATAGATTCGCAGCTATTTATAAGCGACGTGTAACTATGAAAGCCTTGTTTGATGCTGTAAAAAATGATTTGAATTTAATTGGAAAAATTTCAAGTTTTAGAAAAATAATTCATAAACTGGGATTTCGTTGGAAGAAAAGTCAAGATAATAGAAAAGCATTATGCGAAACAACGGACATACGATTAAAACGCACAGAATATTTAAGGAAATTAAAACAATATAAAGAAGAAGGTATATTGGTTTTGCATTTTATAATTTCATGTTCAAAATGTAACTGAAAAATAAAAATTATTGTTATTTATTAATTACTACTATTTTTCGGCCACTTGTTTTAAGAATTGTTTTTTTAGGGCAAAATATTGTGTATAGTGATGAAACATACATCCACAGTAGTCATACTGTGGCAAAAACTTGGGACGATGGTACAATGAATTGTTTAAAATCACCTGTAGCCAAAGGAAAACGTCTAATTGTTGTCCATGCTGGAAGTAAAAAAGGATTTGTTCCTAATGCCGGACTGATTTTTAAATCTGGTTTAAAAACAGGAGACTACCACGATGATATGAATCAAAAAAACTATTTTAAATGGCTGGAGGAAAAATTAATTCCTAATTTGGATCCCAATTCAGTTTTAGTAGTCGATAATGCATCGTATCATAATGTGCTGGTAGAGCCTAATCCAACTTCTAACTGGCTGAAAGCAGATATGCAACACTGGCTCAGAGAACGTGGTATTGTTTTTGGAGACAAAGAAACTAAACCTGAACTATATGCAAAAATAAAACTTAATAAACCACAAAATAGTGTTACTATAATGGATAGATTATTAGCCACACATGGCCATATTGTGCTGAGATTACCACCGTATCATCCTGAATTGAATCCAATAGAAAAAATATGGGCAATCGTTAAGAATGAAGTAGGAATATGCAATACGACATTTAAAATGGACGATGTTTGGAGATTAGCAGAAGAAAAATTGGCAAATGTCACAAATGATGTATGGAACAATGTCTGTCAACATGTGGAAAAAGTAGAAGAAGAATATATTAGCCGCGAACATTTCATTGACGAAGTCAATGAACTTATAATACGCATAGACGATAATGATAGTGATGAAAGTGATTTCTTTAATTCCTCAGATAATGATGATAATGATGATGACTTGGGTTGTTAACCGTTATAATTTTTTTGTATATCTACAATTATTATGTAAATACAAATTACATATCATAATAAAATGCCCTATTCTTTATTATTTTAATTTAAGCAATAAAAATATATACTTACTGGGTGTAACGTAAAGGTTGGAAATAAATTAAACGGTGGATTTTTTGGTTCAAAAAATAAATTTTTCTCATATGAAATTATGCTCTACGGGTTTTCTTTTCCAAGCTACAGGGCGCTAAAAAGTTTCAAAAATTTTAGTATTTCTCCAATAACTTTCGAACATTATAAGATAATGGAACGAAATTTTAGCCTTAGCTTAATTTGATAATCCCCTAGTAACAGGAAAAAGATTGACTTTGTAAGTTACTGAGTGGCGTGCGTACGGATTGTAAAGTAAGGTTTTTCGAAGAAAATTGTTGTACGCCACTGGTAAAAACATTTTTTAAATATTTTTTCATGATCCAATTTTTATTTTAAACAAAATTACCCTCTTGCGTTTTATTTGTAGCTCTTGTAATTTTTCCGTAAATAGAACTTTTGTAATTACCATTTTTTCCCGCTAACATAGGAAAATAAAAGTAACAAAAACATTATGAAATATGCTTTGACTCAGCCACCGAATATGGTCAAACAGGCATTGAAAAAAGACTTTTGCATTGAAAATGATATTAAAAAACTAAATTTTTTGAAATTTTTTAGCGTCCTGTAGCTTGGAAAAGAAAACCCGTAGAGCATAACTTTATATGATAAATATTTATTTTTTAAAATAAAAAATCCGCCGTTTCATTTATTTCCAACCTTTACGTTACACCCGTATAACGAACGTTCGTCAGTTCACTTTATTGATGCCCGTGCGCCTTAGTTCATTTCTACTTGTAAGAATGCACATGGTCTAGTTCTGAGTCAATGTTTTCACAACGTGCTTATTAGAAGAATTATGCGGATACGCCACGCCTTTCGCGCATTTCGCGGTCCATGAGATATTAAAACAGCTCTAATGTACGTGTTAAAGTCAACTGCCGCGTCCCAGGCGGCCAGTGCCAGTGCTTAGTGCTAAGATGCACATAATGTGCTCTCAGTTCTTATCTCACTCTCAGTGTCTCTGTCTCGCTCACACTGAATAGACATTTATTATACTGTTTATTGCGCATAAAGTGGATGTCATAGAGAAATACTCTCCCGCTTTGAATTTTTTGAGTACCTAGTACCTACCTATTACACGTTTTGAGTAAAAAAATTAAGTTCAGGATCATACACATATAGTCTTCTTTTCAATCTCATTTGATTTTGCACATCTAGTAGTTGCCCATAATTTTCTACTTTATGACAAAAAATTCAAAGAGGCAAGAACATTCCTAATAAGCGTTCAAAAGTTTTTTTTTATCGAAAATATGTACTTAAAAAAGAATCTAATAAAAAATGTGCAGGGGGTAGTTCATTTCAACGTCTTATAATAGGACGAGGACGATAAAAAATACTCGACTAGAAGAAGCTTTATCAGCCTGCATATCATGAATAATTTCACGTTCTAAATTTCAAACTGTTTGGAAATACATAAAAAAAACTTTACACATTTCACCCCCTTTTAAGGGGTCGTAACTAAGAGGCCTTAAATCAAAAAATTGTATATGAAGGACCCCTATTAAAAGTGTTTAAACAATTGACCCTCAAATTTTTTGCACATTATTCGGGATCACCCTGTACATATATGTACGTTTTATACACATTGAAATTTAGCCAAATGATTTATAATTATTGCAAAAATATATTCGAAATTCAAACTTCAACCTACAAACGAAATTTTATGTTTTGCTTTAATTCTAAATTTATTTATACTACAACCAGTACAATCACAAATAAAATATAACATATCTCCTTATCTCCTAAGGGAACAAATTTGGAGGTAAAACAGTAAAAAAGTTATTTTATTGGTATTGACCTGAACATCACTCAAATTTTTTCGTGAATGAATAGAAATCCCTTATTTATGGTCAACATCTGACATACACGTGTGACGTCTGGTGTCTTTGCCTTTTCTCAAAAAAAAAGGTATAAACTAATAAATAAGACATGACAGGATCCATTGTGCCTACATGCATTGTAGCTTTGCCAATACCTACAGAATAAACAGAACAATTTTTTATTGTTTTAGGCCAGGCCTGTAAATTATATAAATTCTAAGCAAATCTTGATATTTATTAAATGATTTTGCTTCTGTCTTGGCTCAGTAGTTTTATCTTGGGCCCTTAAAGTTTTATATTTTGGATTTGTAGGTGTTAGAACTGTGTTTTAACACCTACAAAGGGGGGGGGGGGGGAGTGTGCGTTTAAGGCAATTAGCCCAGGGCGGCCGAAACCTTAGAGACGGCCCTGTAAGTAGGTACGTGAAAATAATTCCTAAAATGTGGGGTTAGGATAACAGCAAACGCATGTTTTACAAACGCTTTTTTTAGTTATTATTTTATTTGAGTAAATTTAAATGGTAACAATGAATAAACAGAACACCAAGGATTTTATTTTTGTGTTTACTTTTGTTCTACATGTTTTACTTTTCAAGATTTCAGTACATACCTTACCTTTTCTTTTGAAAAGGTCCACGGACCTCAATATTTTTTTGACACTTCCATCTGTCAGTCTTTTAGTTTGAGCTCTTCAAGAGCTGTATGCAGGGTGTTTCATAACTCTACCGACACAGAGCAGGCATGTGTACAGGATCTTAAAATATGCCGATTTGTTACGTAACATTTTTTTCTGGGATGTACCCTTGAAGATATTTTGACCTCTAAAGATGAGTGTTAAATTTTGAAAAACAATATTTCAGCAATGCCTTAACATACAGCAACCAAATTTGGTATATGATTTGCAGTTATTGTAATTGAGGGTTGCTTTCAGTGTACAGCAAAATAAAACTCTCTCTCAACGATAAATAAAAGTATTTTTATTAAAAACTAAGTACCTATAAAGAAAAATATATGTTGTTGGGGCGAGCGTTCGCTGAAGAGTCGTCTTGATGTGGAGTCGTTTGCAGGTATAAGTATCTGGTTCGTGGCGCCAATCTGCAGTGATGTTCTTCCGGGAACCATATCCCATTGTTTCTTGTCGCATGCAACGGGTAGACCGGTCCGGGCGGCGCGCGGTGTCAGGCTGGCGTTCTTGACGTAATGGGTTACTTGCGGACATGTGTATCCACATTATCTTTAATTGGTAAAAATATGAATTTGTTGGAAGCCCAATAAGGGTCGGACTAGGGGTAGGGCGCCCTTAAAATGATATCGATATTTTACAGTATTACAGCAAATTTAATTTAAAAAATTCGAAAAAATTACGGATCGGACAAAAAGTAAAGTATGCAGTTTTACAACTAGTAGGCTAAGATTTCATGTGTCATTTTTTACGTTTACAAAAAGTATCAAGAAAAAGCAATTTCATTAAATTAGATTCTTTATTTTACTTTTAACAAATTAAAAAGAGGAACCTTACAAACAAAACTTTAACCACAGGAACTACCGATATCGTCATATAGCACTATAATAACTGTTGAAAATGGCCAGCATTTTATCTAATACATAAATTTACCCTTCGCCGAAAATTAAAGTATACTCTGCGCTATAACTGTGGATCAATTTTTATGGCGTTGCATTTATTATTTATACGATTCCATAAATTTGCTTCAGATATAACCGGTGTAAAATAAATTCCTTTCAAGCCCCCCAGAGAAAGAAATCACATTTATTCAGATCTGGTGATGTTGGTGGCCAATTTTCTGGCAATAATTGTTTTCTCGTCCTATCCATCTATTAGGGAACTGCTGGTTCAAGTCTCGTACATTAGCACTGAAATGCAGTGGAACACCATCGTGCATAAACCACATTTGACGTCTTAATTGCAAAGGTAAATCCTCGAGTAGCCTAGGGAGAGTATTTTGTAAAAAAATAAATAAATAGTTTTCGCCATTCAGCCGGTTTGGTATAGAATAACTGGCTCGATTGAATAACGTCCGACAATACCAGCCTACACGTTTATTTTAAATTCATTTTGAAAATGGCGAGGAATTATTGCATGTGGATTTTCATCCGAATATTCATGGAAATTATGCAAAGTTGTGATCCCTCTTCTAGTGAAACAAGCCTCGACCGTAAAAAGAATCTTCTCATGAAACCTAACACCTTGACACAAAATGAAATACAAATACCATTACCGTCGTTCAAAGCAAAAATGCATTTCGGCTTTGATAATTAATTACTAGGGAACTAATGATCGTCATGAATAACTAGGCAGGATTTTGAAAACTTCAGAGTATCCTCTATACAACTGTACTCGTATAAGATCCTTTTATGATATACTTTTTTTTAATGCAAGAAACTTGATTCAAGAAAAAGTAAAAAGTAGCAAAATGTGGCCATGAGGAAGAGTTCTTTTTTCAATATTACCTCAAACAAGGCTGAAATGAAACAAAAAGGGATTTCCAAAATTTCATTTTTTTTTCGAATATTTCGAAAATTAATCTTGTTAGCCTAGATTTTTTAGAGGCATAATGTTGGTCCCCGGATTACGCAACTTTGCCCCCATTTAAGCTAGTTTGTAACTCTTACCGTTTTCGAGATCCCTGTAGTGAGAAGCGAATTTGTAACAGCCTGTTTTTCTCTAAACTTGATATAACTTTTTAAGTAATGAATAGACCAAAGATATTTTCGAATTTTTTAAGTATCCCAAAGAAACCTTCAAGAACTGCGTTTTTTTTCGTGATTCGAATTAAACTCAGTTTTTCTAAAAATGAGTTAAACAATAAATTTTACATCTTTTATTCATTGTGTTAAATTTAAAATGTTTTGTACAATACAAATTCATATTTTTGTTTAAACAAATACTGAAAAATATAAAAAATAATATAAAAAATTATTTTCTTGGAAAAAATTTTTTTTCGAATTTTTCTTTACAATATTCATAACCTTACAAAATCGTAAAAAAAGTTGTCTTTTTTTTGACCGCTGTATTTTTTTCCGCAAATCTGAGTTCTTTTCAAAAACTGACCCAAAAATCTATTCTGGATATTCTTGCACAATATATGTAAACTAGCAAATTCACTCGTCGATACTTTTTAAAAAAATCACCTGTTATATCGGTGTACAAGTATGTCAAATGAACCTCCACAATAATGATGGATTTTTAAATACTTCAAACTGTTATAATACTAATTTTTCTTCTTTTTTCAGAAAGGAAGCAAACACTTTGGCTGTTATATTTTATTTGAAGAGCTTAATACTGATCATAGGTAACCTCGTCTCAAGAGTGTCAATATATCTTTTAATAATGACGTACCTATGGACTGGACATTTGCTCACAGCAGAAATAGTGTACTTTGTCCAACATTCTTACTCCCAACTCAATTCATATATAACAGTCTCCATACCATTTGGTATAGCACAGACTGCTGAGTTATACGCATCTATGAAAAGGATACAGAAATTCCTTAACAGTGAAGAGTTGAAGGATAATCAACAAACGAGAAACGTATCTGAGCCGAAGGTGCTTCTAAGAAACGTTTCAGTCAAGTTAAAAGATGCAGTGGTACTACAAGATGCATCTCTCTCTGTAAATAAAGGCTTGCACCTAATATCTGGCAATGTAGGAAGTGGAAAAAGTGCCATACTGAAGGTAATTATGAAAGAGTATCCCATTACCAAAGGACAGTTGCTAGTTGAAGGTACAATTTCTTACGCCTCTCAAGAACCCTGGCTGTTCCCGTCGACTATTAAACAAAATATATTATTCGGGCAACCTTACAATGAGAGGAGGTACCAAGAGGTACTGCACGTGTGTGCGTTAACTCTAGACATAAATCAGTTTGAACAAGGAGATCAAACCGTAGTTGGAGACAGAGGAGTAAATTTAAGTAAAGGACAACAAGCTAGAATAAATTTAGCTAGAGCTGTTTATAAAGAGAGCGACATTTATTTATTAGATGACTGCTTGTCCGCCGTGGATACACACGTTAACATGTTTGTTTTTAAAAACTGCATAAAAGGATTTTTGAAAGACAAGATTGTTATATTAGTGACCCATAACATTAATCACATCAAGCAAGTTTATGGAAGGAATGTTTTATACGTCGATAATGGAACCACTTTATCTATAGATAAACAAAAGGAAACTTTGGATAAAAGAATTACTTATTATATTGATGATGTCGACTTTGATTACTTTGAAGGTGAAAAAGATGAAGACCTTGTTCATTTAGAAAAACACGAAGATGATGAAAGCGCGCTGCTATTGCAGGGAAATGGTATAAACCAAAAAGTAAAAGATTTATATCATGAAGAGAAGAAATCAGGAAAAGTAAAGTTAAGTGTATACTATCGATACTACAAGTACACTGGTGGAATTCTGGTTCTTCTGCTCATTATTGCTCTTTTTGTCGTTGGTCAAGCAGCAATGGCGTACACAGATAAGTTGTTAAGTCAATGGTAAGTTTGCAGTTATTGTTATAAACAGCTGTAATCTAATGTTATAATTGTTTTGCATGACTCTACTCGTACATGAAATAATTAATGCATTTGGAAAAGCGTTTTCGTAAATAATAAATAATTGTTTGAAGTTTTTGAAAAGCTTCCATGACAGTTGGCAATAGTTGAACAACTTCCGCGGTCCACGCCATATGCACAGACTTTTGACGTTTCGAGAGTCATCACCACCTTCTTAAAAAAAATATAAACTGAAACTGAAGATTAAGTCTTATGGTCTTATAGTTCCTTAAGGAAGACAAAGACAAGCTACAGGAATAATGTACCTACTCCAAAGCCTCCAAGGTATTGCATCCCGTGTACCTACATGTAGCAAAGTGTAGGCTATAAAGAAGCAATATGTAGGATGTTGCATGACGTACTGAACAAACTTAAGGAACCTGTTCCTGAGGTCATCTTAAGTAAAACAGTTATAATACCGGGTGACTCAAAGTGAGTGACCTATTAGATTATTTCAGAACTTACTTCGATTTAAATTTTGAAAATTGGCACACTAGGGTTTTTGGGAGTACTCTTATCAAATCTAATAATTTTGTTCTTGTAACACTTCCGATTATACCGGAAGTTGACGTCAACTTTGTTATTTTAAATAGAACAGTATGTATCTTTTTACATTTTTGTATTTTACGCTTCATTATAAGGTGACTTTCATCAAGTTTCCCTATTCCCAAAATTATCCGTTTTCGAGATATTTAACTTTTTAGGAAATAAAAATCAGAACCTACTTTAAAGTTGTGCGCATTCTACAGTTAAACAGATAAAGCAACAATATTTGCGGGAGCAGGAGCTAAATACCTAGGCTGCATAACCATATCTTCAGAGTTATCGAATCTTATAAAAGGTGGTGATAATTCAATACCGAGTTTGGTCCACTGGATGTGCCATTTTATTCTCTTTCCATCCATACTATGATTACGTATACTTATCTCTACTAGTATTTATGTTATTTGAAGTTATTTGGGTACTCTACTGAAGTAGATTAATATTATTATTACGTATTCCTAACAAACAGCAAAGATGTCAACTATTATTTGTCATCAAGAAATTGTCGTTGTAACAGTTTAAAACAAGATGGATAGACATAATTACACACATGAAGTTATTATGAATTTATTTGTTATTTATAGGCAAACCTACCCAAACTTACAACCTACAGGTATGCGTAACAAAAAGGTATAGGCCAATCAATATAGGTTTTTTGTGTGACAAAAATACTAACAGCGTACTACCTGTGCCATCATTTAAAAGATAGTCTGTAGATATACTCTGATGTGTTTTAGACTCGCAACTCTCATTAATTGATTTGTTGTTAACTTTTAGTGCAAAAAACGCATTTTTTTAGTTTTTTGCCTATAAAACCAAAACTACTACAACAATCTCAATTTCGTCCATGGAAAAGTTGTAGGAAATTAAATTTTGAGGAAAATGAGAGGTCGAGCGATCCGATCGGTTGATTAGAACCGGAGAAAATCCTGAACAACCGGAAAATTCGGCATTTTGTTCAAAAATTCATAACTGTTGAAATTTGGCACAGAAGTAGATAATTATATCAACTTTAAGTGTGCAAAAAACAGGCACTATCCGACCATTAGTTTTTGCGCAATTGCAATTTCAAATTTTTTATACATTTTTTTGCCGAGAATCTGCGATAAAAATGGTCCGATTTTAATTCTAATACCGGTTTTCAAAACTAGAAGTAAAATACTATAAAACGTATATTTCAAGTTTTTGTTAAAATGCCGCGAAATGGATGAAATATGCACTTAAACATCGGTATAAACGGCCAAGCGCGTGTGATCGCGCGAGTAGAGGGGGAACAAGGGGAAGCGATGTTCCGCGCAGCGGGCCTGTATATCGACAGGGTCGGAAAGTCCCCATGGTTCATCGGCCGTTACGTGAGAGCGATAAAGTAAGTCATAGAAATCCGTGCGATAGAGAAATATGGCTATAATGAAGGCGTATAATAGTCACCGCCCATTTCGCCCTTCCACAAATAAGAAGTGGATCCTATTTGTGGAAGGGCGAAATGGGCGGTGACTATTAGACGCTATCATTATAGTTATCTTTCTCTATCGCACGGATTTCTATGACTTTCTTTATCGCTTTCACGTAACGGCCGATGAACCATGGGGACTTTCCGACCCTGTATGTACGCTTCTTCTCCTTCCCCCACTACGAGAGCGCTCGCGCGCGCTCGGCCGTTTACACCGATGTTCAAGTGCGTGTTCCATCCATTTCGCGGCATTTTAAAAAAAACTTGAAATATACGTTTTATAGTATTTTACTTCTGGGTTTGAAAACCGGTATTAGAATTAAAATCGGACCATTTTTAACACATACAGACTCCCGGCAAAAAAAATGCACAAAAAATTTGAAATTGCAATTGTGCAAAAACTAATGGTCGGACAGTGCCTGCCTTTTGCACACTTAAAGTTGATATAATAATTATCTACGTCTGTGCCAAATTTCAGCTCTTAATCTTCATAAATGACAAAGTTATGAATTTTGGAAAAAAATGCCGAATTTTCCGGTTTTTCCGGATTTTCTCCGGTTCTAATCAACTGATCGGATCGCTCGATCTCTCATTTTCTTCGAAATTTATTTTCCTACAACTTTTCCATTGACGAAATTGAGATTGCTCTAGCAGTTTTGGTTCTATAAGCAAAAAACTAAAAATGTGTTTTTTTGCACTAAAATGTTAATAACAAATTAATTAATGAGAGTTGCGAGTCGAAAACACATCAGAGTATATCTACGGACTGTCTTTTAATTGATGGCACAGGTGGTATGCTGTTAGTATTTTGGTCAGGATATAATTTTTTTTGCTCTATTGACTGGCCTAGTATGAAACCTTTTTGTAGCGTAGAATCCAAAATGTAAAAATATACATAGTGTTCCATTTAAAATAACAAAGTTGACGTCAACTGCCGGTGTAACCGGAAGTGTTACAGAAACAAAATTATTAAATTTGAAAAGAGCACACCAAAAAACCCTAGTGTGCCAATTTTCAAAATTTAAATCGAAGTAGATTCTGAAATAATCTAATAGGCTACTCACTTTGAGCCACCCGCGGTATACATGGGGACAATTTTCCATGGTTACCAAATTATGGTCCTTTAAAGTTTAAAAATAAGTATTTACATGTATATGGATTTTAAACTTTTACTATGTTTAATTTAAGGAATGACAATAACAAAATGACAACAAAACAAAAATAACATACTTATTTACGTTGTTCAAAATATCCTCCTTTAGCATTAATATACTGTACAGCACGACTAAGAATAAATGCTCTTATAAATCCCCGGGTTATCCCTCGCTTGCTGACATTTATCAATCTGCTTAAGCTCATCTCTATTATGTCTCTTACACAAAGTTTTTAAGATGACCCCACCCCAGTAGATAGGCTACCTTCATTCTGTGACAAAATCCCATGTATTTTCTTATGGAGGTTCATTTTGCAAATTTTTGACCAATTTTACCCCCTCAACTCCTCCTTTTGACCCCGCCCCCGCTCCTGCCCAAGCTCCTGCCGCCTCCACGCCGCCTGGGAAACTTAGTCATTGGATGACGTCATTGTTGGCGAAGAATTAATAATTTAAAAAAAAACCTATGTCGGCTGTGAGGATCGAGCCCCGGTCCTTCGGATTGCGAGGCAAGCACACAACCCACTAGACCACAACGCTCATGTACTGGATATGTGATGTATAAGGTAGGTATGCGATGCTGGAAGTCGGCGACAGTCAGCGGGGTGCCGGCGTACGAGGGGGGAGCGGGGTGCCGGCGTACGAGGGGGAAGCAGGCGGCCGCTGCCGATCAGCGATGCAAGCAGCGGGCTGCGGGGGGCGGCGACGGCGACGGCCTCTTGATATCAATCATTTTTTGAAGGTAGAAAATTAAAGAAACGAGCGCTATGTGAGAGTGATAAGAAGATAAAATGACCAATGCTATAAGGGTGTTCTAAAAACGGCTGGAGTTTTAGCATTTGAATGCGTAACAATAAATATGAATTTTATTTTAAAAGTAAAAACAATCTGATGGCTTAATATTTTGAATTATTTTTGAAATGTATAGTAGCTATTTTTTTGTTACAACGCTTGTTGTGACACATATTCTCAGAAAAACAATGATGACGTCATCACAATTTCCGGTCCAGGTGTTTGTTTAATGTAAACAAATAAATGATTTATTACCCTTTTCTTGAAATTTTGTCTGGCTTTAAAGCAGTTATGTAAACAAACTTCAAAGGCGGTATGCGCCATAATTTTTTCTTGGAAACTGATATATAGATGTATTTCTTGGAAAATACGTGATCAAAGCGTTGTTTATATTACCGTTATGTAAACAAATTTCATGGTTTATTTCCCTTTTCTTAGAATTTTGTCTGACTTTTAAACAAGTTTTAACCTGCAGCTGGGACTCTGGCGTGGGAACTTATAGAGAAAATATATATAAATTTCAACGCTATTAAACATATTTATTTTTGATTTAAACTATAAGGATTGTATTAATATTAATTATTTTCAGAGTATATAGTACTCATCACATTATAATACAAAGTTAGAAACTTATACTATAAAATAGCATAGAAAAAAGATTACATGAACCTATCTCTCCAACTGATGTGTGTAGTTTGCGGGAGGGAACTGCTGCTGATTCTGCTAGTAATTTTCGTCATTCTGGGATAATAATTATATACATGTAGATGGGTGTATGAAATCTGCTAAGATTTATATTTGTAGCTGTAGATTCCTGTAACAGATAAGAGGTTATGTATGAGAAATCGACTAATTTAACCGAAAAATACTTGTACCAATGATCTTTTGGTTAAAATTAACCAAAAATCTTTGGAATCAATAATTTTTTGATTAATACTGTACAATTATGTGGATACTAATGTGGATACTGTGGATACTNTGTTTATTTCTGCGTATTAAACAAACAAAC